AAGAAGCACTAGAATTAATAACAGCGCAAAAATGGGAAAACTGTATTAAGCACGTGAAAGACAAAGTTGAAAAGAGAATGTGGGAGCTGGACAATATTTTAGAGGAACAAGTCGAGCCATTCATTATTGACGTTGGTGCTTCAGGCAGTAGCGATGATGAAAGCTCATCAAGCTCATCTTTCCAATAAAAGATGTCGTTCATCAAATTCGGTAAGTTATAAGTAATTTTTGAGATTATATTCGACTGTATTTCACCAAACATCAGGCGGCATCCGAAGCTGGAAATCGAAGCGAAAATTTTGAAACCCTTATGTATATTTACATCATTATATATTTCTTACCCTACCCCCACATGATCCTATATCCATCACCAATCGTATACACATCGAATTGTGCTAATTTACTACAAAGTTACGCAAAGCAGCATCTACTATCTAAAATATGTACTGCGTGAGTCTTAATACGTCCCTGCCGAATGTTACAGCGTTCGATGATCACGTGGTCTTGTTTATGTCCGGTCTATCTCTTATCTGAATATACTGTAGATGCCAGGAATCCAAATTCGCGCGAGTATGAGAAAGTCTGGACGACAGTGCATTTTCAAGTAACCTGTAGATCAAGATCAGGATCGCAGAAACGGCGAGAGGTATCGATGTCATGGATTTGAATTTCGTGCTTATCTCATACCAGGAGCAGATAGCGCTTCTGTGAAGCTGAAAGCAAGTCTAATCTACCAAGCGAAAAAGCTGATGATTCACATACCTCCTTGCGTTTTTGTGATCCTGATAGCAACTCGTAGTCCTCGAATTATGAGAATTTATCTTCAGTGCGATATTCAGGAACCTATAGATCTGTATCAAGATCGCAGAAACTGCAAGAGGTATCGATGCCATGGATTTGAATTTCGTGTTTATCTAATAGCAGGAGCAAGTATCTGCAAACCTCCTCGCGTCTCTGTAAACCTGATAACAATTTTCCAGTATACCAATTTTACGAAGAAAGTCTGGTCGACAGCGCAAAGTAGCTTATCGGGATCACAAAAACGACGAGCGTATGATAGATACAGCACATACTGACATACTTCCTCGCGGTTCTGTGATCCTGATAGCAACTCGTCGTCCACCAATTTTACGAGAAAAGCCTGGAAGACAGTGCGATTTTCAAAAATCTATAGACTATTAGGATCACAGAAACAGCTAGAGGTATCGATACAATGGATCTGAATTTAATGTTTATATAATATCAGGAGCAGAGGACCATTTGTATATCTCGACGACTAGGAGCATAGAAGTTAAAGATCAAAACTTCGCATCAACATCAAAGGATAAGCAGATAATGCTTGCGTTTCTGTGATCCTGATAGCAACTCGTCGTCCACCAATTTTGGTTTACAGAAACCTAATGATCTGTGCCAGGGTCGCAGAAACGGCAAGAGGCATCAATACCATGGTTTTGAATTTCGCGCTTATATCAAGGGCAAGGTACCATTTGCATATCTCCTGGAGTTTCTGTGAACCTGATAACAGATCTCCAATCTACAAATTTCTACTGGGTCAACAGTGCGATTTTCAGAAACGTACAGATCTGTATGTGGACTGTAGAACCAACTTGGAGTATACAGGGTGTCCCAGAAGTCGACGTCAAGCCGAAACCGGGTGATAGGCAAAGTCATAACAGCTATCAGAAAAATATTTAAAAAAATTTTATGTATGTGTTTTGAAAATTATAGGTCTTTGAAAAAGATATAGAAATTTCACACGCTACGGCAGTCTGTCAACTCCTGTTACTACAAATATTAACTTTTTTTGGATTTTATTTTTACAATGTAATGATGAATAATGCATCTTCAAACTGATGTCTCAACCTTACTGCCAACTTTTCTCGTTCAGGAAAAATTGCCACTTATTTCACAACCAAGTATTCCAAAGTAAAACTTTGCTCAACTTTAACTGGCTGTACTGGAAAAAATGTACTACGAGAGTTTGGCAAGTAACCTTAAAAGTTGGCGCATTTAATAACGATTCCAAAATGGTATAACACTTAGAAGATTACTCGTTAACTTATGCACAATTTTTATTTGAAAAAAAAACTGATGAAAATTTTTCAAGATTTCCTAATTAAACAGCGATTATGAAAACACACAAGGACCCTTAAGGATAACTGTTTGCACAACAGTGGGCGTCAAAATGCTGCTGATGATGATTTACCTTTACAGCAAATGCTCAAACTGTTTTCCTTCAGCCGCAATCCACGCTCGACATCTTCTTAAAAAAGATCGGGTTATTAAACGAGCGAATCCACGGTTATTAACAAACTCAGCTGCTTCCAATAGTCTTTGCCGTAGCTCAGCTACATTTTGAATCGGCTTGAAATACACTTTTTCTTTTACAGTTCCCCAGTAAAAAAATCTAAAGGATTCAAATCAGGTGATCGGGCTGGCCACGGTATTGTACCAGACCGCCCTACCCATCTGCCTGGAAAGTTTTGATCGAGATACTCTCTCACTGAGAGTGCATAGTGCGCTGGGCAGCCATCATGCTGAAACCACATGTCCCTGGAAATACTCAGTGGCACGTCCACCAATAAATTTTGTACATGATTTTTCAAAAAATCCAAATAAACTTCAAAGTCTCTGTGAACTCAAACGGACCGATTATTTTACCATTTAAAATTCCTGTCCAATGGTTTACCTTGAAGCGATATTGAGATTTATCTTCTCTCATCAAATGTGGGTTTGCTACGTGCCACTCGTGTAAGTTATGCAGGTTCATGTACCCATCTTTCTTAAATGTGGTATCATCCGACCATAAAATTTTTTCAAAGAACTGTGGATCTTTCCTGTGTCGTTCTAACATTGTGCGACAAAAAGCAACTCGGTGCTCATAATCCCGGGGCAGGAGAGGTTGAACACGCTGTATGTGGTATGGATGAAGCACATCACTTACTTGCTATTGCACACTTTGATACCGATCAGTACTCCTTCGTTTACTGCGCATCTTTACATGTTCGTGCTTGTCGATTTCGTACTGTTACTAATTTTGGATTCGTGAACTGGACTGTTGATCGCTTGTGATTTGGATTTGGACTGTTTAATTGCTCTTCAAAACAACATTTGCTTTCCTTAGACTATCTTTGATAGTGTGATTGTGCAGTGCCGCTATGTCCGTGTACACCGTACAAGAATATGCTAACATGCACCTCATTTATGGGGAATGCAGATGCAACGCTAGTGCTGCAGCGAGACTTTACTGTGAGAGGTACCCGAATGCAGCTCGTCATCCAGATCATCGAGTGTTCACAAATGTGCACCGCTTACTGTTCTCAGAGGGCCAACTACCAAACCAATCACACGGTGAGTTAAGATCTTTCCTTCCTTACGAAGACGTGGTGCTATGAGCTGTCGAAGAAGACACGAGTACTTCAATGCGTGCAATAGAACTAAAAACAGGTGTGCCCAAAAGTACAGCCCATAGAATCTTGCAAAAAAACGTGCTCCATCCATACCACGTACAGCGTGTTCAAGCTCTTCTGCCCAGGGATTATGAGCCCCGAGTTGCTTTTTGTCGCACAATGTTAGAAAGACACAGGGAAGATCCACGGTTCTTTGAAAAAAATTTATGGTCGGATGAGACCACATTTAAGAAAGATGGGTACATGAACCTGCATAACTTACACGAGTGGCACGTAGCAAACCCACATTTGATGAGAGAAGATAAATCTCAGTATCGCTTCAAGATAAACCATTGGACATTAATTTTAAATGGTAAAATAATCGGTCCGTTTGAGTTCCCAGAGACTGCCGAGGTTTATTTAGGTTTTTTGCAAAATAATTTAGAAAATTTATTGGAGGACGTGCCACTGAGTATTTACAGGGACATGTGGTTTCAGCATGATGGCTGCCCAGCGCACTATGCACTCTCAGTGAGAGAGTATCTCGATCAAACTTTCCAGGCAGATGGATAATGCGGTCTGGTACAATACCGTGGCTAGCCTGGTCACCAGATTTGAATCCGTTAGATTTTTTTTACTGGGGAGCTGTAAAAGAAAAAGTGTATTTCAAGCCGATTCAAAATGTAGCTGAGCTACGGCAAATACTATTGGAAGCAGCTGAGTTTGTTAATAACCGTGGATTCGCTCGTTTAATAACCCGATGTTTTTTAAGAAGATGTCGAGCGTGTATTGCGGCTAGAAGGAAAACAGTTTGAGCATTTGCTGTAAAGGTAAATCATCATCAGCAGCATTTTGACGCCCACTGTTGTGCAAACAGTTATCCTTAAGGGTCCTTGTGCGTTTTCATAATCGCTGTTTAATTAGGAAATTTTGAAAAATTTTCATCTGTTTTTTTTCAAATAAAAATTGTGCATAAGTTAACGAGTAATCTTCTAAGTGTTATACCATTTTGGAATCGTTATTAAATGCGCCAACTTTTAAGGTTACTTGCCAAACTCTCGTAGTACATTTTTTCCAGTACAGCCAGTTAAAGTTGAGCAAAGTTTTACTTTGGAATACTTGGTTGTGAAATAAGTGGCAATTTTTCCTGAACGAGAAAAGTTGGCAGTAAGGTTGAGACATCAGTTTGAAGATGCATTATTCATCATTACATTGTAAAAATAAAATCCAAAAAAAGTTAATATTTGTAGTAACAGGAGTTGACAGACTGCCGTAGGGTGTGAAATTTCTATATCTTTTTCAAAGACCTATAATTTTCAAAACACATACCTAAAATTTTTTTAAATATTTTTCTGAAAGCTGTTACGACTTTGCCTATCACCCGGTTTCGGCTTGACGTCGACTTCTGGGACACCCTGTATATGCCAAAGATCAAAATTTCAACATTCAACATTATAGCATAAGCAGAGTACTGTTCACATACTTCCTCGAGGTTCTGTGTTCCTGATAGCAACTCGTGGTCCAACAATTTTACGAGAAAAGTCTGGTCGAAGGTGCGATTTTTCTTTGTTCTGACAGAAACGAGCAATATCAAAAGGTAATTTATTTAAACTTTCAACATGTGTACAAACATCTTTCAATACTTCTAAGATAATACAGCAAATCAATATCCATTTTACGATAAACCTAAATAAAACAATCATATTTACAGCACTAAGATATCGATAAATGTTAAAATAATATCTACGTTCTGTTAAAACCTACACAAACTAATCGATCTTTATTCTTATTGCAAAACTGAATATACATTTTCAATTATAAAAGTGAGAAATAATGAAATATGGTGAATATTAGAATACTAGTTACTAGAATATATTAAATAGCTTTTCCTCTATATCTAGCTGCACACCAACTAAGTCGGTGTCGATTGGACGGTTTGTTTTTGAGACTAAACGAGCACAACGCTCACAGCTGATATCAGCCACATTGTAAAGGTCACATTACTGAGTATTTGATATGATTTTTGATCAACGGAAATTTTTGACAACTACAAAAATATATTTATACATTTTACCTGCTAATATCAGCAAAATCTGAGATTCATCTTACGATATGTGCCAAAAAGTGTACTGTACTCAAAAAGTTTCTGCTGCAATACAAAAAAAAAAATCCATTCAACACTGGATTGTTCATAACGAATAGAGTGAAGTTGTGAAAACAACAATTAATTATACAGTGCTTTTCAAAGAAAGTCATCCGTGTCAAGTTAGTGAGTTCTAATTCGGGGTGCTGAAATTGATACATGATAATTAATTTAGCATTTTGACGATTAGTTGTTGAGTTATAAGCGATTCCATGTACAAGAATGCACAATTGTGGAAGATTGCCAGTTTGAAATATTTTATTTCTACTCTAGAGTTATAAGGTACTGATAAGAATCTTCAAAATGGGCTCACAAGACCCCCCATTTCATTCAGAAAAATAGATTTTCAATGGTCACTTTTATACAGGGTGTGTGTTATGTCATAAATTTAACAGAATATTCTTTGAGTAATTTTAAGACAGAAGGTTCATACAAACAATTGAAATAAAAAAAAAATGGTTTATTTTAAATATCCTTTACCTAGTTTTGATGTAATTTGTCGGTGGTATTTATAACATTAAGGAGCTAATTTAGCCCTAACATGATTAAATTTATCAAGGACAGTGGCGTCTCGACCGGGATCTGAACGAATATTTGTAACCAAAAAATTTACGCCACTGATTTTGGTGCAATTTTTATTATGTTCTTTGGATTAAGCAAATAGAAATACAACTTTTTTGTCTCTTGATTTTTTTTGCTTAGTTTTCTAGAAAAAAACAGTCAATTGCATATCCCTGGACCATACAAAGAATATGGGGAAAAGTTTCTTTTGGAAATAATTTTTTATTACTAATGTAATAACAATAACACCAAATACTATTATATTAACATAATTAGTAATAAAAAATTATAAAAAAATATAATAATTTCCAAAAGAAACTTTTCGCCATATTCATTGTGTGGTCCAGGGATATGCAATTGAGTAGACTTTTATTCTCGAAAATTTAGTAAGATAAGAAAAAAATCAAGAGACAAAAAAGTTGTATTTCTATTTTCTTAATCCAAAGAACGTAATAAAAATAGCACAAAAGTCAATTGCGTACATTTTTTGTAACAAATATTCCTTCAGATTCCGATCGAGACGCCAATGGACTCAACAAATTTAATCAAGTTAAATTACAACAAAATTAGGTAAAGGATAAATAATATTCACGAAAAACACTTTTTTTTCAAGTTTTAACATCTGTATATTGAGAATGAAGAATTTGCGGACCTATGATTGTATGAAAAATAACCGAAAGAATTGTCTGTTAAATTTATGATATGACACCCTGTATATCAAATTCATCACCCCGAATTCCAGCCCGCTAACTCAATCAGTTCAAATAATAGTAAATACCTTTTTTTGAAATGCACAGTATAATTCCTATTCTAATCAACATTGGCTCGATTTCGAGCGTATTTGAACATGTTTGTTTTAAGTGTACAAAATAACTGCATACTTTTGTGAGTATAACTAACCGAACACCTTAGAAACAGTAGAAGAATATTCAAAAAATAAACTTGATTCAAAAATTAAGGTACGTTTGGGGGAGGTTATGTTCAGTTGTACCTAGCTGGTACTAGTTAACTTTGCGTGGTATGTGACTCACCCTAATCTGATAGATGACGTCTAACTAGACTGAAACTAAAACAGTAAAACTACAGATTATTGCTCCATAATTGCAATTCGCACTAAATGCACGACATAAATATGTGACAGATCAGAATCAGAACCAGAAGACAAATTTAAATGTCATTGTTATGAAAAGAATACGGTTGGTTATCATTTGGTCTAGCTTAAAATAGAACCATCGCCAAAAAAAAAGTGCATTTTAGGAAGTCCGAAAACCTTCAGATTAATGAGAAATAGCTAAGTGCAAGGGAACATATAACCAACAAACTCCAATATTGATGAGGTTCCATAAGCTATGCAGATCAGAAATGGTTCCACTTTAATCGGTTATATCTAGTTCAAATACAGCAGTATTCTTAAACTGTATCAAATATTCCAATGTGTAAAAGAATAAACCACATTTTAAATGTTCAGGGGAATCATATACGGGAACAGTTGCTGAATCGCTAACAAAGTAGAACACAAATAAACTCCAGTTTCACATTCAAAGTTGTAATTATATTCTTCTACCTATATGTGTAACATTGGCTATACTCAAATAAATAGCTAGAATCATTACTGTACTAACATTGACGATAGCATTATTATTTTCAAATTACATCTTGAGATATAAAAAAATCCAAAATGAATCAACTTTGATCAAAAAAATATGACAAAATTCGATACAGCTGCCGCAGACACTAAAAAATTGTTTTGAGATTCATGAAGCGATGAACACGAAATTAAGTAGACAGCACCTTGGATAGACTAAGACCACTACTTGGAAAGAAGAACACGTACAAGATACATTTTACGTGATGAGTAACACAAGATGATTTTTTTTAATAAAGTAGCTCAGTGTTGGATAGGTAAAATATAAATCAGGTTTTATAATCCTTATACTTTCAGTAAAAATAACGGTTTAATTCTGAAAGTTGTATATGAAATATATTTGTTTACGCATCATAAGTTTTATATGAAACATTTTCTTATCGATGCGCAAATCGTAGTTAATTAAAAAAAAATGAATTGTTCGATATTGAACATCAACGTAAAAAAACGTTTCTGTATAAATTGTCCATATGTATATCCATATGGAAATCTATCAAATTTGTATTGAAATCTTCAGTTAGGCACTCGGAACTACTTTGTACTAGGGTCGCTAGAGACTAAATGGTAACCCGAAAACATCCCAAAACAACTGGGCTACTCTCTTTGGATTATAAAGATTTTAATACAAATTCAGTTGTTCCGACCGTGTGTATATAAAAAATATTCAGTACATTCGTTTACGATATCACTTCTTGTAAACGTAAATGTCGTACAACTAACGTGAGACTCGCGAATAAAATGACGTAAATCGGTATCGGCACGTCGGCAGCCATGTTGTAGATATGGCAGTATGGACACTGACTGCTGCCGCACACTTGACAGATGTCCAGCACGTACGTAGATAGAGCATCGAATATCGTTTCGTTGAACCGTTCTGCAAAAAAGGGGATGAATATGAAACTGTTTTCTAATCTAATTATCTAATTCTTAAGTGTTTTGAGTGAGAACAATTTTAAAAAATTTCACATTTCTAACGGTCTTAAATTTGCTTCTGCTAGAACACATTTTAGTCAAAATATATCAAGTGACATATAAAATGCGACACCCAGAATTATGTATTGAATTTTGTTAAAAACTTGTTTACATTTGGTGTGGATTTTTAGATCATAAATTGGCATTTAAATTGTTTTTGATAGAACAACGATGATGAACCAGTTGGAATACGTTTTATATCCTTTTATATGCAAAATAAAAAAATGTACTTTTCTACAGGTACGTATACTAAGTGACATATAAATCCGAACACCCAGTTTAAATGGTTTTATTTTAATAAAAGTTGGTGAATGTATTTATCTTACTGTAAATAACAAGTGAAAAAATTTTCAGCCTTATCAGTTGGACATTTCGGTTTTTATACTGTTTTTTTTAAATTCACTAACGCTCTAAAAATGAATATTTCAGCCGCAGTAAAGAATCAACGTTGGCGGATTTTGGTTCTTGACATCCTTTACGATCGGTTACGATGCCTAAAGTACGGAGACCTGTACGATTTCGTCAACTTAGTGAGTTTGATAGAGGCCGTCTATTGGGACTTCGGGAAGCTGGACTTTCTTTTCGGGCAATTGCAGTTAGAGTGCAAAGAAGTGTAGACACTGTGGTTAGCTGTTGTCAGGCATGGCTTCGAGAAGGCGTACGCAAAGAGCAAGGGGCACTGGACGCCGCCGTAGAACAACAGACCGTGAAGATCGCCGCCTAAGATTATTGGCCTTAAGGGACCGTTTTCCACTACCAGGTACATTGCAAATGAATGGTTTGCAGAACACGGAAGACCTATTGGCATGCGAAGTGTTTACCGAGGAATGAGAAGTTTTGGCTTGTTTTCATACCGGCCACACTGGGTCCTCCCTTTAACTCGAGAACACCGACGTAATCGCCTTGAGTGGTGCAGACAACGGTCACTGTGGGATCAGGAATGGAACAGTATTGTCTTTAGTGACGAGACTCGATTTTGTTTAGGCATGCACGATGGTCGTGCCAGGGTTAGAAGGCGACGTGGTGAAAGGAGGAATCCACAGTTTTTTCTTGAAAGACATGTTCATCACACTGTTGGAGTTATGGTTTGGGCTGCTATAGCTTATGGTTCCAGGTCACCTTTAATCTTCATCAGAGGTAACATGAACGAGCAGCGTTATATCCACGAAGTTCTAGAACCCTGGAAGATCCAACTTTCTAACAAGATAATGCCCGACCACATATTGCAAGAGTCACAATAGACTTCTTTCAACATAATGATGTCACATTGTTACCATGGCCACCAAGATCTCCCGACTTATCCCCAATTGAGCACGTGTGGGATATGATGGGTAGGAGATTGCTCAATTTGCAACGTCCTCCTCAGACTCTAGAAGCACTTCGAGAGGAGTTGGTGGTTGCCTGGAATGAGATACCACAGTAGGACAGGACATTGACCACCTGATCAGAAGCATGCCTAGGCGCGTTGGAGAATGCGTAGCACATCAGGGTGCATCCACACATTATTAAAGGTCAAAGGGCTTTAAAGCAGTGCAATCATTTTGAAATTTTTATCATTTACTTATTATGCTTCATTAAGTACTTATACAAAATTTTATTAAAATAAAACCATTTAAACTGGGTGTTCGGATTTATATGTCACTTAGTATACTTCTTAAGGGTTTTGAGTGAGAAAAATTTAAAAAATTTCACATTTCCAACGGTCTTAAATTTGCTTCTGCTAGAACACATTTTAGTCAAAATATATCAAGTGACACATAAAATGCATCACTCAGAATTATTTATTGAATTTTGATAAAAACTTGTTTACATTTGGTGTGGATTTTTAGATCATAAATTGGCAATTAAATTGTTTTTGATGGAAGAACGATGATGAACCAGTTGGAATACGTTTTATATCCCTTTTTATGCAAAATAAAAAAAAATCTGTACTTTTCTACAGGTACGTATTATGTACAACACCCTGTACAAGGACAAAACTAGATTGCCATGCATGGCAGTCGTCAAAAACAGTGGAAACATCCTATTAAATATAATGACTAGAAAATCGACCTATTATTTCTCGCATTTTTATTGGCCCATTTAAATAAGAGCCCGTCTTTTGTGACATGATAGGCACTGGAAATTCTATGAAAGTTATCCTAATTTTAAAGCCCAAAGACATAATGTATCCTCTATAGTGTAACCCTTATTTACCGGGAGATTTTTTAAGAGGTATAGGATTTGATTTTCAAAAAAAAACAAAAAAAATTTGAAAAACGATTAAATCTTTATTTGAGTCGATAGAACGGTCGATATAATTTAATGTTTAAAAATTATTTCATGTAAATGTTGGCCGCGGCTCCGCTTTAGATGGCCCATGCGCAAGGTCCAATTTTGGCACACTCTCCAACATATCGTCCGGTATCTCACGAATAAATGCTTCAATATTGGCTTCCAGTGCGTCAATCGTTGTTGGTTTATCCCTGTAGACATTAGCCTTAACATGGCCCCACAAGAAATAGTCCAACGGCGTTAAATCACACGATCTAGGCGGCCACTTTACGGGCCCCAAACGTGAGATGAACTGTTCATCGAACTCGCCTCTCAATAGGGCCATTGTTTCGTGTGCGGTGTGGCATGTGGCACCGACTTGTTGAAACCACATGTCAGCCAGGTCCAGCTCTTCCATTTTGGGCAAAAAAAAGTTTGTTATCATCGCACGGTAGCGCTCGCCATTCACAGTTACGTTCCGGCCATTGTCGTCTTTGAAGAAGTACGGCCCGATGATGCCACCGCCGCATAATCCACACCAAACAGTGATTTTTTCGGGATGCATTGGTAGCTCTTGCAATGCTTCTGGCTGGTCTTCACTCCAGATGCGGCAATTTTGCTTGTTAACGTACCCATCAACCAGAAATGAGCTTCATCGCTGAACACAATTTTTCGATAAAAATGTGGATCTTCCTCCAACTTTGCCAGCGCCCATTCACCAAAGTGTGGCTTCAATTCTTGCACCAGCTGTATCTTATAAGGTTTTACACCCAAATCCTGCCGCAAAATTTTCCACGTAGTGGAGTAACAGAGGCCCAATTGCTGCGAACGGCGGCGAATCGACATTTCACGGTCATCACTAACACTGGCGGATACAGCCGCAATATTTTCTTCAGTCCTCACTCTACGTCTGCGTGTTGGTGGTTTAATGTCCAATAATGTAAACTGGGTTCGAAATTTAGTCACAAGCTTCCGAACAGCTCCCTCAGTAGGCCGACCAAATTGCGCATAAATTGGAAGCAGTGCTCGATGCACTCTCTTAACCGAGCATGAATTTTGATAGTAAAATTCAATAATTTGCAAGCGTTGTTCGTTCGTAAGTCGATTCATGGTTAAATTATAGACCAAACTGAACAAGTTTGACAATGACACAAAACACGATTCACGCGTCATCTCTCAAAAACAGTGTTGCCAAAAAGATACTAGCAAAAAAATCACCCATTATAAAGCAACAGCTTTTTCACGATTTTATTCAATATTTAAATAGAAATTAGCGATATTAGGAGACAGCTTCCGTCAAATTGCATTTCGATAAGCTGCTTCCTTATTGGTCGTAGCATCCGTCAAATTTAAATCAGCTCTAAGTGATATAAAATGCAACACCCAGAATTATTTGCTGAATTTTGATAAAAACTTGTAAACATATTTGCTATCATGGAAGTATACGCTGATAAAATATCAAATGCATTCCGATCCGTACTTTTTTGTAAAGGTTTTTTTTTGTCATAACAAGATCCGAATAATATGAACATGTTTTCTTAATATTCAGTGATTTGTCTGTATTGGATCCATTTGTTTCATTGCATTATCATGCCTAGAGTTCACATATTTGATAGTACCAATTTCTTTCACTTTGTTAGCATCAAATATACTTTCAACTTCAAAACAGATCTATGAATGATCACTGATTTTAGGAATATTGATAGGTTAGATTTTTATATCTATAACAACGGAACACATTTTCTAACACACTAAATTTGATATAAAATACCATTCATCCATTAAACAGAAGAGTGAAGGTCGTTTTTAATTCAGATCTTAGACTAACAGCAACTATAAATCGAGTAAATATACTGTACCTGGAGCGTAGTAATCGTAGACGCGAATAGGCAAGTATCTGGACATATTGGCTACTGGATACCATCTTTCCACCGTGAAATTTATGCAAATCTGTTCGCTATCCAACTGAAATACGAAATGGCACATTATTAATATTTTAAGGACAATTCAAACTGAGAAAATTTCGTAATCGCAAAAAGATCAAAACTACTTACATAATCGAAATAGAACAAAACTTTTCTTTCTAGGTATTTTGCTCGTTGCAAGTTTCTGACCCTTCTAGATAAAATGTACGCGTCCAAGTCTTGTTGTTGGATAATGTAGCCAGTAGGGACGGTAACGTCAAGTATAGCCATTCCGGATCTTTCCGATTCGTTCAGATGGTTCCAACTGAAAAACAAATTGATATATAATAAAAATATTGATATATAAAATGAACAAACGGAACATTAAATTTATTTTATTCAAACTAGTTTCCTTCAGAGCGATTTACTCGTACATGGACCAAAATATTTTCGAATTATGATTTCAGCTCATTGACCGGTGGTCAATGGTCGTCGACGCCTTTTGGATGGCTTCTACGTCGGCATACCGCTGACCCTTCATGGCCAAATGTATACGGTTGTCCAATAGGGACGCAGGAAAGTAAACGTCAATTTGACATAGACGCCATCTTTGTTTTCTGTCACCGACATGTCATTTTGTTAGTTGTATGTTTACCATTGATCGCTATGGAGTCGTATTCGATTGAAGACGGCATTAAAGTTATTCAAGAGCACTACAAAAATGGTGCAAAAATAAAAAACACGTTTCGCGCGCTTCGTGAACATTTCGGTCGCAACAACCGCCCAAACGAAACAACCATCGGTCGTCTGGTGCGTAAATTCGAGGCAACAGGTTCTGTGGCAAATCTGCCAGGCTCTGGCCGGCCAAGGAGCGTTCGCACACCGGAAAATATTGCTGTTGTGAAGGAGAGTGTGAGAGACGATCCGAAACAATCAACAACGCGTCGATCCCAAGAATTGGGCATTTCGAGAACCAGTTTGCTCCGCATTCTCCACAAGGATTTGAATGTACACGCCTACAAGATCCAATTGACGCAAGAGCTGCGTCGGGCCGACCATTTTTCGCGCCGAACGTTCTCATATTGGCTCCTTGAACACCGCCTAATTGATGCCAATTTTTCATCAAAAATCATGTTCAGCGACGAAGCGCATTTCACTTTGAATGGGACGGTAAACAAGCAAAACTGCCGCATCTGGGCGAACGAAAATCCCCGTGAGTATCAAGAGCAGCCGATGCATCCTCAAAAAGTGACTGTGTGGTGTGCATTGTGGTCAAAAGGCATCATCGGACCTTACTGTTTCGAAAATCCGGCCGGGGACACCGTTACCGTCAATTCTGAACGATATCTCGTGATGATAGAGGACTATTTTTTGCCGCAACTTGAAGGAATGGATATGGACGATGTTTATTTCCAACAAGACGGTGCAACATGCCACACAATCAACGTCAATATCCATCGATTGCAGTCCTTCTTCGGTGATCGCGTGATTTCGCGCAGAGGAAATGTGCCATGGCCACCAAGATCGTACGATTTGACTCCCTTGGACTTCTTTTTATAGGGATATTTAAAAAGCAAAGTCTACGCCAATAAATCAGCCACCTTCCAAGAACTCAAAAACAACATCATTGCCGAGATAAATGCCATAAAATGTCATTGAAAATTTCGACCATCGCGTGGAAGTCTGTAAATCCAGTCGTGGTGAACATTTGAGCGATATTATTTTTCATACATAAATGGTATAAATGAACCTTCAAAATAAAGTACCCAACTTGATTTGAATATCAATCTTTCTTGTTTTAATATGCGTTTACTTTCCTGCGTCCGTTTTGGACAACGCCATAGTTTACCGAACAGAAAATAGTCACACGGTGAAATATCAGGACAACATGTACAGTGGTTGATGGTTGAAATGCTATCTTTTGTCAAAAAAATCGGACACAAGCGTCGATCGATGAGATTGAGCATGTTAATGTTAAAATTTTCATATCATATTTGGTTCTTATTTTTATATTTAAAATAAAAAATCATCTTTTGTCAGAACATTTAGAACACTACATAGAATTGGATAATCATTACCACAATTATTATTATACAAGTGGAAATATAGATTTTTATTTACAAAATGCCAATAGTAATATAATTAGCAAATCAATATTACAATATACAAAGGATTACTAGAATTTAATAATGATACCTACTACCTACTTGTAATTTAAAGATATTGAAAAGAAAATTAAAGGAATATTTCATGGACAATGAAAATTCTTAGAGACGCATTTTTTTTATGAATTTCTGTAAGTTATATAATTGTTTAGTTTTTTAGAAGAATGTAATTGTAGAAATCATGCTAAATAGATCTTAAACAAACAAACACAGCGCCAGCTTACTTCTTCGCGACATTCTGGCCGAACACGACGAATACGCGACAGTAAACGCCTCATAAGACCAACATAAAACATAGCATTAACCGTTTGGCCAGGTAGAACGAATTCTTTGTGAATCGTAGAAACAAATCAACATTGTTTTCACCTTGGATTTTTCTAAACGGTTTTTTTCCGGGTTTCGCTCGCATGGGTGCTTCCATTCGGCAGTTTGACGCTTGGTTTCGGGATCGTAATAAAAACAACACGTTTCGCCACCAGTCACAATGTTGTACAGACAGTTTTTGCTTGCTTTTTTTTAGCCTCTTTAATGATGTATCTCGAATGTTGAATTTGAAGCAATTCTTGGTTATTTTTCCCTATATTACAGTTATGATTTATTGACTATACTAAGTGACATATAAATCCGAACACCCAGTTTAAATGGTTTTATTTTAATAAAAGTTGGTGAATGTATTTATCTTACTGTAAATAACAAGAGAAAAAATTTTCAGCCTTATCAGTTGGACATTCCGGTTTTTATACTGCTTTTTTTTTAATTCACTAACGCTCTAAAAATGAATATTTCAGCCGCAGTAAAGAATCAACGTTGGCGGATTTTGGTTCTTGACATCCTTTACGATCGGTTACGATGCCTAGAGTACGGAGACCTGTACGATTTCGTCAACTTAGTGAGTTTGATAGGGGCCGTATAGTGAGACTTCGGGAAGCTGGACTTTCTTTTCGGGCAATTGCAGTTAGAGTGCAAAGAAGTGTAGACACTGTGGTTAGGTGTTGTCAGGCATGGCTTCGAGAAGGCCGTACGCAAAGAGCAAGGGGTACTGGACGCCGCCGTAGAACAACAGACCGTGAAGATCGCCGCCTAAGATTATTGGCCTTAAGCGACCGTTTCTCCACTACCAGGTCCATTGCAAATGAATGGTTTGCAGAACACGGAAGACCTATTGGCATGCGAAGTGTTTACCAACGAATGAGAAGTTTTGGTTTGTTTTCATACCGGCCACACTGGGTCCTCCCTTTAACTCGAGAACACCGACGTAATCGCCTTGAGTGGTGCAGACAACGGTGACTCTGGGATCAGGAATGGAACAGTATTGTCTTTAGTGACGAGTCTCGATTTTGTTTAGGCATGCACGATGGTCGTGCCAGGGTAAGAAGGCGACGTGGTGAAAGGAGGAATCCACAGTTTTTTGTTGAAAGACATGTTCATCACATGGAGTTATGGTTTGGGGTGCTATAACTTATGGTTCCAGGTCACCTTTAATCTTCATCAGAGGCAACATGAACGCGCAGCGTTATATCCACGAAGTTCTAGAACCCCATCTTTTACCTTATCTTGACACCCTGGCAGATCCAACTTTCCAACAAGATAATGCCCGAGCACATGTTGCAAGAGTCACAATAGACTTCTTTCAATATAATGATGTCACATTGTTACCATGTCCACCAAGATCTCCCGACTTATCCCCAATTGAGCACGTGTGGGTATGATGGGTAGGAGATTGCTCAATTTGCAACGCCCTCCTCAGACTCTAGAAGCACTTCGAGAGGAGTTGGTGGTTGCCTGGAATGCGATACCACAGGAGGACATTGACCACCTGATCAGAAGCATGCCTAGGCGCGTTGGAGAATGCGTAGCACATCAGGGTGCATCCACACATTTAAACTGGGTGTTCGGATTTATATGTCACTTAGTATATGTGGGTCCTATATGATGAGCTCCACCACATTTTAGATGAGAAGTTCATGAACATCTAAATAATGAGTTACCGACAAGATGGTTAGTGTGCAATGGACCAATTTCTTGGCTTGCTCGCCCCCCAGATTTAACGCCTTGCTTTTTTTCTGTGGGGCTATTTGGTAGAGTTGGTTTATCGTGATGGAAGAAGCTCAACAGCGCACTGAAAATGCTTGTGATTCAATCCGTGGACACCAGGATTTTATTTTCGAAACTTGTAAAGAGTTCTGGATTCGCCGAGCAAGATTTTGCGTTAATCGAACAAATGGGGACAATTTTGAATAGTTTTTGTAAAAACGGTATCCATTTAGCTTGATGATGATTTTTTTTTAATAATGTAAACTAACTCTCTTATTATGCAAGTTTTATATAGGTGATTTTTGGTATATCAACTTCTTCTGACGAGTTCTACAAGCTGTTAAAATAAATTAATAAACTTTGAAAACACCCTGTATAATTTACAGCTTAGACCTCCAATAATGCCATATCTGAAGCAGATGTTACATCACATCAGAGCTAAACATTTATAGCTGAAGCATAATTACCTTTATGCAACACGTACAGCTACGGAACGAATACATCTCAAGTGTACAACAGCTTGTGCTAAGTTGACATCTTGTAGGAAAACCTACACAATGTCACAACAAATCTATATGTCAAAACAACGACATAATTCCACTTTTCAAGACACATACCCTTGCTGCTGCTGTAGGATGGTTACTATGCCAACTGTTAAAATACTAGCTGGAGACCAAATCGATCATAACTACAGTTCAAAATGTTAAAGTGACGCAAAGAGGAAATGTGTAACAGTGTTGTAAAATTTAAACTCGTAGTAGTACTAGTAGTAGTGATAGCACTTACCTTTGACAGCTGACGTATGTGATGTGCGACTGATTTCTGCCGCTGAAGAACTGTTTTGTGACGAGGTCGAACGCCTGCACTGGAGGCTTCGTCTGAAACCGTTCTACGTCGACGTTGTACTGGACGGACATCTGGAGAATCGCGTAACCTGTACCTTTAGCTTGCACCTTCACTGTGCCCCACGCGTTCGGTATATCGATGTACTGCAAGTTGACTCTGTTCTTGTCGTTAACGTAAAGAACCTAGAATGTTTTCAAGTTGTAAATCTTCTAATCAGGTCATAGGAAATGCAGTTGATTTTGAAACGTTCATGGTTATACAAAGTCGCGATAATAAATGAGCTGTTATTTTTGGTTCCTATATATATTCCTATATATATATATAAATATATATATATATATATATATATATAGGGAAATTGGTAAATTTTTAGGCTTACGTTGACTCTTTTGATGATAAAATCAAGCTTTCGGCATTCTCTATGGAGCCTTCATCACTGGTCAAATCAACCAGGACCAAAAGAAGTCCTTAATCACTTATAATTCTGTCTCTCCCAAATTTTATGCTCTTCCCAAAATACACAAACATGTACTGACAGTACGACCGATTGTGGCTTCTGTTGAATCAGCCACACTAGCTTTATCTTCATTAATTGCAAATACTCTAAAGTCAGCTCACATCAAAGGAGAATACTTTATAAAAGACTCTTTTGATGTTTGTCTATAATTTAATAGGTTTCAAATACCCCCTGATCATGTTATTGCGAGTCTAGATGTAGTTTCACTGTTCAGCAATGTATATTTAGAAGCTTGCATCACATCCATCAACAAACATTGGGATCAAATTTGCCGACACAGCAACCTAACTCTGGATTCTTTCATCAATATCGTAGAGTACCTTTTCCAGAACAATTATTTTACTTTTAATAACAAAGTGTTTTCACAAACACGTGGTTGCCCCCATGGGCTCTGTGTTGTCTCCAATTTTGGCAGAATATGTAATGGATGACCTGGTTGATGTTGTTATTCAAGTATTGCCATACAATCTAATTTTCATAAAAAAGTATGTGGACGATATTATCGTTTGTCTTCCTTATGATAGGGTGGATGATATTGTTGAGGTTTTTAACAGTTATGATCTCTACATCCAGTTCACCATCGAAAAAGAATCCTGATGAAGGATCCATAGAGAATGCCGAAAGCTTGATTTTATCGTCAAAAGAGTCAACTTAAGCCTAAAAATTTGCCAATTTCCCAATTAACAATTAATTGTATTTTGTGCCCAACTGGTCGTTGGCTTTGGCAATGACTACTGCTCATATATATATAATGGGTGATTTTTTTGTTAGTATCTTTTTGGCAACACTGTTTTTGACAGATGACGCGTGAATCGTGTCTCGTGCCATTGTCAAACTTGTTCCGTTTGGTCTATAATTTAACCATGAGTCGACTTACGAACGAACAACGCTTGCAAATTATTGAATTTTACTATCAAAATTCATGCTCGGTTAAGAGAGTGCATCGAGCACTGCTTCCAATTTATGGGCAATTTGGTCGGCCTACTGAGGGAGCTATTCGGAAGCTTGTGACTAAATTTCGAACCCAGTTTACATTATTGGACATTAAACCACCAACACGCAGACGTAGAGTGAGGACTGAAGAAAATATTGCGGCTGTATCCGCCAGTGTTAGTGATGACCGTGAAATGTCGATACGAAGCCGTTCGCAGCAATTGGGCCTCTGTTACTCCACTATGTGGAAAATTTTGCGACAGGATTTAGGTGTAAAACCTTATAAGATACAGCTGGTGCAAGAATTGAACCCACACGACCTCCCACAACGTTTCCCATTTGGTGAATGGGCGCTGGCAAAGTTGTAGTAAGATCCACATTTTTATCGAAAAATTGTGTTCAGCGACGAAGCTCATTTCTGGTTGAATGGGTACGTTAACAAGCAAAATTGCCGCATCTGGACTGAAGACCAGCTAGAAGCATTGCAAGAGCTACCAAAGCATCCCGAAAAAATCACTGTTTGGTGTGGATTATGAGCCGGTGGCATCGTCGGGCCGTACTTCTTCAAAAACGACAATGGCCGGAACGTAACTGTGAATGGCGAGCGCTCCCGTGCGATGATAACAAACTTTTTTTTGTCCAAAACGGAACAGCTGGACTTGGCTGACATGTGGTTTCAACAAGACGGTACCACATGCCAGACCGCACACGAAACAATGGCCCTATTGAGAGGCGAGTTCGGTGAACAGTTTATCTCACGTTTGGGGCCTGTCAATTGGCCGCCTAGATCGTGTGATTTAACGCCGTTGGACTATTTCTTGTGGGGCCATGTTAAGGCTAATGTCTACAGGGATAAACCAGCAACGATTGATGCACTGGAAGCCAATATTGAAGCATTTATTCGTGAGATACCGGCCGATATGTTGGAGAGCGTGTGCCAAAATTGGACCTTGCGCATGGGCCATCTAAAGCGGAGCCGCGGTCAACATTTACATGAAATAATCTTTAAACATTAAATTATATCGACCGTTCTATCGACTCAAATAAAGATTTAATCGTTTTTTCAAATTTTTTGTGTTTTTTCTTTAAATCAAATCCTATACCTCTTAAAAAATCACCCGTTATATATAATTTTGAGCCGTGGTCAATGTCGTCTAAACAACCAGTCAGATGAGAAAGCTTCAGCCTTTAGTTGGGTACTTCGACGACATTAAAGCAATGAGGACTCTGTTTACTTTATTATCTCAAGCTTTCGATGAACTATGCCGTCATCATCAGGAGCTACATTAACATTAGGAAAAAATAGCAACTACACGTACAAGATTGATTTTAAACTTCTTACACTAGTATGTGAGATTGTTTGCTAAGTTAATGAGAACATTCAGAGCCTGATGAAAGCTGGATCCATGGTAACAGTCGTTAAAATTTGTAAAATACACAGCTATGTATCAAAAAAACATCAGAACGGAAACTTGGAAGATTGATTGTTGAAATGTTCGATATTAAGTACATCGTAACAAATCTTGTTGCTTAACAAAATGGTGCACGGGACAAAGCTATCGGAAGTAAGAAGAACAACATGAAAGTTGATATAGGTTGATAGGTGACAGGTCAGTGGCTGGAACGGTTGGAACTACTTGAAAAGCTGTAATTTTTTCACGATAGTTCACGTTTTGACGTCTACTAAGGTAAACAGCTGATGAGCAAGTATCATCTCTGCATCATGGATGTTGTGAAACCCAGGACCGTATTTAGAACTATTTCAAACACCGATGACAAATTATGTTCACATAGTTGCACTGACTGGGAATTTTGACACTAAAATATTTGAAATACACAGAAAAATACGATAAATCACCTACAAGTACGTATAAATTACAAAACTGCACCAAGTAGACTGCACCAAGTAGACTGCAATTTGATGACAGTGGTAGAGAATATCAAAAAATCTATATAGGGTTGTCCAATAGGGACGCGGGAAAGTAAAAGTCAATTTGACATAGACGCCATCTTTGTTAGTTGAATGTTTACCATTGATCGCTATGGAGTCGTATTCGATTGAAGACCGCATTGAAGTTATTCAAGAGCACTACAAAAATGGTGCAAAAATAAAAAACACGTTTCGCGCGCTTCGTGAACATTTCGGTCGCAACAACCGCCCAAACGAAACAACCATCGGTCGTTTGGTGCGTAAATTCGAGGCAACAGGTTCTGTGGCAAATCTGCCAGGCTCTGGCCGGCCAAGGAGCGTTCGCACACCGGAAAATATTGCTGTTGTGAAGGAGAGTGTGAGAGACGATCCGAAACAATCAACAACGCGTCGATCCCAAGAATTGGGCATTTTGAGAACCAGTTTGCTCTCCGCATTCTCCACAAGGATTTGAATGTACACGCCTACAAGATCCAATTGACGCAAGAGCTGCGTAGGGTCGACCATTTTTCGCGCCGAACGTTCTCAGATTGGCTCCTTGAACACCGCCAAATTGATGCCAATTTTTCATCAAAAATCATGTTCAGCGACGAAGCGCCTTTCACTTTGAATGGGACGGTAAACAAGCAAAACTGCCGCATCTGGGCGAACGAAAATCCCCGTGAGTATCAAGAGCAGCCGATGCATCCTCAAAAAGTGACTGTGTGGTGTGCATTGTGGTCAAAAGGCATCATCGTTACCGTCAATTCTGAGCGATATCACGTGATGATAGAGGACTATTTTTTGCCGCAACTTGAAGGAATGGATATGGACGATGTTTATTTCCAAAAAGACGGTGCAACATGCCACACAACCAACGTCAATATCCATCGATTGCAGTCCTTCTTTGGTGATCGCGTGATTTCGCGCAGAGGAAATGTGCCATGGCCACCAAGATCGTGCGATTTGACTCCCTTGGACTTCTTTTTATGGGGATATTTGAAAAGCAAAGTCTACGTCAACAAACCAGCCACCCTCCAAGAACTCAAAAACAACATCATTGCCGAGAGAAATGCCATAGAACCGACCACGTTGTAAAATGTCATTGAAAATTTCGACCATCGCGTGGACGTCTGTAAATCCAGTCGTGGTGAACATTTGAGCGATATTATTTTTCATACATAAATGGTATAAATGAACCTTCAAAATAAAGTACCCAACTTGATTTGAATATCAATCTTTCTTGTTTTAATATGCGTTTACTTTCCTGCGTCCGTTTTCGACAACCCCATATAATGACATACTTATTTTTTTTTAATGTTTTACTATTTCTTTTATTATGCAACTTTTATATAACTGATTTTTGGTAGATCAACTCCTTTTGACGAGTCCTACGAGCAGTTAAAATAAATATGAAAACACCCTGTACGAGGTTTGTCCGGAAAATACGTATAAAAGATTCGGGGCGTTGTGGAGGGGTGGCCCGGTGGTTCCCTCTCTGTATGCAATCCCCTTTATGCTCAGTTCGAGTCGGAGGCCGGAGCGCTCTGCAAGTAAGTAGGATTTACGTGTGCTTATTGAAAGTAACCCTTTTTTACCCCCCGTTCTCTCTGATCGAGGAACAGCGCATCAACATCAAGTTTCTTGTAAAGCTAGGCAAGAATGGTCGTGAGATTTTTTAATGTTTGGAAAAACTTTACGGAGTCACAATTCCCTGAAAGAAAGTGGTTTAAAAGCTTTTGGGAAGGCCGAGAAGATGACCGACGCCCTTCCACATCGCGCTCCGAGGGAAATGTTGAACGAATTCGGGGCTGTGTTCTTAAAGACCGTCGATTGAATGATAGCCGAGGAACTGCCAATTCCCAAAACAATCGTCCACGAAATTCTGCCAGAAAATCTTGAAATGAAAAAATTGTGCGCGTAAATCGTTCCGAAGCTCTTGATTCCAGAACAGAAAGCAATGAGGATTGCTTGCTGTGAGAATTAGTAGGAAGCAGGGAAAAGGGGGGACTTCTCTTTCACTGGGGACGAGTTTTGGCTCTACGAATTCGATGTGGAGCTGAAATCTCAAAGGATGGAGTGGAAGCAAGCAGGGGAACCGACAACAAAAAGTCGAAAAAATCAAGGTTCCGTGTGAAAGCAATGTTGATTGTTTTCTTTGATTCTCTGGGCACAGTTCACTAGGAATTTGTTCCTTCTCCGGTCAGACAGTGAACGGAAATTTCTCATTGAAGTTCGACAGGATTCGGTACAAGGAGGTAGGTGGATCCTTCATCACGGCAACGCGTCTGCTCACACGTCTCTCGTTGTGCGTGAGTTTTTGGCCCGAAGCTGAATCACCATGACAGAACACCCGCCTTATTCACCCGATTTAGCCCCTCGCGACTTCCTCCTGTTCTCAAAATGCAAAATAGTGCTTCGAGGGCGGCACTTGGGGATGTGGAGGCCGTCAAGGCAGAAACGACACGGCAAATGAAGAGCCCCACAATTGAAGACTTTCAGCGATCGTATCAACAGTGGAAACGGCCTTGGCAGAAATGCATCTTGTCTCAGGGGGAGTACTTTGAAGGAGACCATATTGAAATACCTGAACAATTGTAAAATAAAGTTATTGTTCTACTTTTACACGTATTTTTCGGACAAATCCCGTATTCATAAAGCTCGATAAATACCTGAGTCTTTCCTGGCAACGCGGTCGCTTCGACGATGACGGAAAGGCTGGAAATATCTCGGATCCTCTGAGCAGATGTATATTCAATCAATGCGCGCATAGCATTGGCAGTGTCCGAGGTTGACGCCCAACCACCATCAGTCAATCGTTGGGTATTCAACCATCGCACTATGTTATCCACGTAGATTTCTTGTCTTGCCACGTATACCTGTAAATTTCATTTCATTTCTTTACTGGTGCTTAATACAGTTGCGTGCTTACACAGGTCAAAACAGAAGTTAAAATACAAAAGTGTCAATTCACGAAACAATACAATATGTTGGAAAAAACGTTAAATAAACACAAAACTATAGAACAATCACATCCGAACAAATTAACAGTAAGTAAACATTCCAACACCATTATAAGAGATCCGAAAAGTTATTACTTGAAAATTCTTGGATGGTACAAAAAGCTTTCTTGATAAGGTAATCTTTAATTCTGTACTTAAATGAGCTGGGACCAGACATTCTGAGTGCCCCAGGAAGAACATTATAAAAGTGGATTACACATAGTTAGAACCGTTTCGAGTTTTTATAAACGACGTTCAGAAAATATCTAACTTATGCATGTTACGTGTATTGTAACTATGTAAATCATTATGCGTTTTGTATAAATCCAAATTGTTGTGTATATAACATAAGCAGACAAATATATATAGAGATGGAAGAGTAAGGATCCTTAGACTGATGAACGCGATGAACACAGAGTGACCCTAGTTCAAGAGGGCATATGACATTAAATAAATGGTCTTGCATAGTTCCCTAAAAACACTGTTTACACGTTCCTCCCAAGTCATGTGTATATACTAAGTGACATATAAATCCGAACACCCAGTTTAAATGGTTTTATTTTAATAAAATTTTGTATAAGTACTTAATGAAGCATAATAAGTAAATGATAAAAATTTCAAAATGATTGCACTGCTTTAAAGCCCTTTGACCTTTAATAATGTGTGGATGCACCCTGATGTGCTACGCATTCTCCAACGCGCCTAGGCATGCTTCTGATCAGGTGGTCAATGTGCTCCTGTGGTATCTCATTCCAGGCAACCACCAACTCCTCACGAAGTGCTTCTAGAGTCTGAGGAGGACGTTGCAAATTGAGCAATCTCCTACCCACCATATCCCACACGTGCTCAATTGGGGATAAGTCGGGAGATCTTGGTGGCCATGGTAACAATGTGACATCATTATATTGAAAGAGGTCTATTGTGACTCTTGCAACATGTGGTCGGGCATTATCTTGTTGGAAAGTTGGATCTGCCAGGGTTGCGAGATAGGGTAAAAGATGGGGTTCTAGAACTTCGTGGATATAACGCTGCGCGTTGATGTTACCTTTGATGAAGATTAAAGGTGACCTGGAACCATAAGCTATAGCATCCCAAACCATAACTCCAACAGTGTGATGAACATGTCTGTCAACAAAAAACTGTAGATTCCTCCTTTCACCACGTCGCCTTCTAACCCTGGCACGACCATCGTGCATGCCTGAACAAAATCGAGACTCGTCACTAAAGACAATACTGTTCCATTCCTGATCCCAGAGTGACCGTTGTCTGCACCACTCAAGGCGATTACGTCGGTGTTCTCGAGTTAAAGGGAGGACCCAGTGTGGCCAAAACTTCTCATTCGTCGGTAAACAATAGGTCTTCCGTGTTCTGCAAACCATTCATTTGCAATGGACCTGGTAGTGGAGAAACGGTCCCTTAACGCCAATAATCTTAGGCGGCGATCTTCACGGTCTGTTGTTCTACAGCGGCGTCCAGTGCCCCTTGCTCTTTGCGTACGGCCTTCTCGAAGCCGTGCCTGACAACACCTAACCACAGTGTCTACACTTCTTTTGCACTCTAACTGCAATGGCCCGAAAAGAAAGTCCAGCTTCCCACTATACGGCCCCTATCAAACTCACTAACTTGACGAAACCGTACAGGTCTCCGTACTCTAGGCATCGTAACCGATCGTAAAGGATGTCAAGAACCAAAATCCGCCAACGTTGATTCTTTACTGCGGCTGAAATATTCATTTTTAGAGCGTTAGTGAATTAAAAAAAGCAGTATAAAAACCGGAATGTCCAACTGATAAGGCTGAAAATTTTTTCACTTGTTATTTACAGTAAGATAAATACATTCACCAACTTTTATTAAAATAAAACCATTTAAACTGGGTGTTCGGATTTATATGTCACTTAGTATAAATGCTGACACCCAAAAATTTTACTGTGTCTATGGTATTGACGTCATGGTAACACAAACTTATTACCACGGACTGAAGCATTAAGTGTCAATTTATTTGCTAAAAACCAATGTTCTAAATTTATAGGGTAATCAGTATCCGCAGAGAAAAGTATATGTATTAATATTTTATTTTCGAAGGAACACTAAGGCCTGATTTTACAACTGACCAAAGGAGATCAAAATCTGCGCCTAGGACAAATTGGGCCAATGACAAAGCGTCTTTGTAATAATGGATCTAATGCAATTAAGATGTCTCTCAAACAAGCGAAAAATCATTTGATTTATACTAAATGTCATAGAAAATGCTACACCGACTATTCAAGTAAAGCCAATAGCCAAAATGGTAACTGTTTACACGAGAACGGTGCGTCGGACGGAAAAAATGTCAACAGGTCAAATTTGTTCCCAAGTAAGTTTCAAAAATGATATTTATTTTCGGAAACAGTAATGGCGTACTATATTTTTTATGCATCTCGTATGTACGCCACTAGTACCGGGTGCACCATCTTTCATGTCGGTATTGAAACATCGAATGACTCTGATATTTACCAACCGAGTGATTTGGTTATACGTGTTTCTGAAACGTCAATTTACTACAATTTTAGTCATGAATCGCTTTACACCGAAACAACGCGCCGAAATAGTCACAATGTACATTGAAAATCGTCGTTCAGTTGTGTTAACGCAACGTGCTTATCGTCGAACATATCGTGGCAAACAGGCACCGTCTGACAACACTGTCCCTCGCTTCGTTTCGAATTTTCTCGAGTACGGGACAGTGGGAGATCGTCAACATACCGTTCATCAACGACAAAGACGTTCCAATGACTTGGTTGAAGCGGTCAGAGACAGCGTTGACCAGAACCCAAAAGTGTCGTATCGTCACCGCGCTCAGCATTTTGGCATCAGTGGAACCCCGTTGCGGCGCATTTTGAAGGATGATTTGCATTTGTTCCCTTATAAGGTGCAGTTAACACAAAACATATTGCCAACTGACCGTCCACGTCGCTTGGAATACGCCCAAACAGTCGCTCGCATGGTTGATGCTGAACCTGATTTTTGGAAGCGGCATTAATAGGCAAAACTGCCGCATTTGTGGGACGGAAAATCCACATGAGGTCCACGAAATGCCGTTGCATGACCGGGAAGTAACTGTTTGGGCCGGCGTTTGCGCCCAAACCATCATTGGGACATTTTTCTTCAACGAAAACGAAACACTCGATGGAAATCGATATCGGTGGATGTTGACTCATTTTGTCTGCCCACAAATGCGTGAAAAAGGTCTTGATGGTTACTGGTTTCAACAAGACGGTGCGCTATGCCACAATGCACATGAAACAATCCAGTTTCTGCAACAAAAATTCCCTGGACGTCTGATGTCAAAAAGAGGTGACGTTGACTGGCCACCTAGGTCTCCAGATTTGACCCCACCGGACTTCTTCTTGTGGCCAGACCACAGAGATGCTCGAAAAAGTAATGGAAAACGCAGCAAAACGGGCACATTTTTTTTTGGCCAATAAAGGTGGCCACTTTATAGATGTTGTGTTCAAAAACTAGTCCCAATAAAGTGTAAAGGACCATATTTAATAAAAAATACCATATATATTGAAATCAGTTTTTCGTTTTCATGTTTACATACCGACATAAAAGATGACGCACCCTGTATAAAAATTAAAAAAATCTATATTAAAAAATGCCTATTAATGCTGAGTAGGTGCATGTCAAATTTCATGAAAACAGTATTAAAATTATGATAAGAAAACGATTTTTGTCTTACAATTTTAACACCCGTAGATCAAAAATTAACAAGTTCTTCCTAAAAGGAACTAAGGAATCATATCCTGTCTTTTTAGCCATCAATTAAATTACGCCCTGTATTCAGTAACATACTAATTTAGTTTTTAAATCTCTTGATGATATTTCATAGGTGCTTATATAAACTTGTGATATTACCTCGAAAAAGTCACCTAGGAATGCAGCTGGCGACTGAACTTAGTAATAAATAACCGTATAAAAAACTCTTACCATCAACGCGTACGCTGTCGCTTCAATGTTCTCCGAATCGTATTCGTAGGGCAGCCGGGGCAGCAAGAACGGCTTCTGGTTCTCGATCTTGTACGGCGGCTGCGGTATAGCGTGTCGTCCCCAATAAAGCAAACCGCCTTCGAATCGTTGCCTCTTGGACAGCTCCAAGAAGGCGGCGTCCGCGTTAGGCGCCTTCGCCTTCATCAAAGCGTACGCCACGATCGCGACGTCGAACGGTGTGCCGCGCTCCTTCAGCAGGTCCATGTTGCGCTCCAGCCAATAGATCGCCCGCTTCGCCGCTATCGCCACTCGCGAACTCAACCCACCTGGGATACAAAACGAATTAAAAATGACGTAGAGTAAGTTGGATCTGTATTTCGCGCGCAAAGCCGTTCATAAACGATCATGTTTGACACAAGTTAGCGCTTCTGAGAAAAAAGTTATTCTACGAACATGTACGAGCATAACTATGTAAAATAACGATAAACTCTTTTACCGCAAGATACGAGTATAACTGAAATGTTTGTTGATGTTGATTTGATAGCCACTATGCAAGAATATTGGATAAGGTTGAAGTTTGCATGAAAGAAGCTACAGTCAAGACAACGAAAAATCCAACACCTTGGTTCTCATAGACGTTCAAGGATTCTAAATGAAAAAGAGACTGCAGTTAGAAAAAGTTTATGATTACTCGGAGTTAAAATGATTGGCTAGAATAGTACACATGATTAAGAAACCAATCTGTGTAGCAGTTCTACGAGATGAAAAGTAAAAATATTACAATACTAAAATTGATCACAGTGAAAGTGATAGCAAACAGATGTGGAAAACATTGAAATTATTTCTCCTATTAGAAGAAATGCATTATCTAGAATTAAGTTGGACGATGGGGTAATGGCAAATGAAACAGTAATGAATACCTATTTCATAGAAAGTAGTAGTAGTAGTAGTAGTAAGATTTATTTAGCACATTTGGCTACATAAACAGAACAATTGTAAACAACTTAGAACTAGTAAATTCAAGCATGAAGCCATATGGTGTATGATGTAAATGCTGGGCAACCTATAATTGTAGATTTAACAAGTGATTTCTCAATTTTACTTTAAATTTTGTCAAAGTTTTCTGGTCTTTTATCTCCGAGTATAATTTATTATATTCAATCAACCCTTGATGGAATACAGATTTGTAGCATATGTTATACTTTTTGGTCATTAAATGGAAGTCATCTTTATTTCTGGTATTATGTAAATGATGGTCGACATTTGATGATGTTAAATTAGTTAGACTTGATGGAAATATATTATTTTTCACTTTATAAATGAATATCATTACAAGATATTTGATAAAATTTTTTACATTGAGCCATTTTAATTTGCTAAGCATTTCCCTAATTGGAGTATATTTATCTTTATTTAGTATTATTCTCATGCACTTATTTTGTAAAATTTGCAGTCTTTCAAAAATGGAATTATTTGCTAAATATAGAATAGTCGAACAGTACAAGGAATTTGGACGAATGATGGTATTATAGATAATTTTTCTGCTATATGAACTCAGACATCCAGAAACTCTCGATAAATATCCCACTTTACTACTAATCTTATTTATAACTTTTTCATAATGAATATCAAAAATTAATCGAGAGTCAACAAAAACTCCCAGGTATTTAAAATTTTCTACGAATTCAATATCTTCACCATCAATATTCAGTTGAACATTTGTACATTGTTTTTTTTCCGATTAACAAGGCTTTCGTTTTACTTGCATATAATTTTAGTCTGTTAGATGCTAACCATTTTGAGACAAGCTTCAAGTCTTCATTTATATAAGAGATACCAGACTGAATATTTTTAGTACTTATATAAATCATAGTGTCATCGGCGAAAATCTGAATTTTGCATTTTTTGACTATGGCAGGTAAATCATTTATGTATAAAATAAAAAGAAGTGGTCCCAGGATACTGCCCTGTGGAACACCCAACGTATTTTCTATTTGTGATGAAATAGTGTCATTAACTTTTGTAACTTGCATCCTTTTAGACAAATAATTTCTAAACCAATCTAAAACACTTCCTGTTATACCATATGCCTTCAATTTACCTAACAAAATATCTCTATCAATCGTTTCAAATGCCCTCTTCAAATCCAAAAATACTGCTATGACAACTTCTTCTGAGTCTATGGCTCTTCTCCAATTCTCAGTTACCAACTGGAAAGCTGTTTCTGTGGAATATTTTTTTCGAAAGCCTGCTTGCGCCTCCACTAAAATTTTGTTTTCTTCTATAAACTGCATTAATTGGTCATGCACTATGGACTCTAATAATTTTTCAATGTCTGGTAACACATTTACTGGTCTCATATCGCTGCATCTTTTAGAATTTTTTATTTTGGGAACTGGTGTTATTGTAGAGCATTTCAAATTTTCAGGGAAAGAACTGCTTCTCAGTGAACAATTGATCCAATTTAATACAGGATATCCCAAAATTTCGAAACAGTTTTTCAGCACGTTTTTGATTTCGGCACAGTTGTTATTTGATTTTAAACTGTTTACTTTTTTTCTTAGATAATTCAATGGTACGCTGTGAAATTTTGAAAGTGTATGCAACATTTCCCCCTGGAAACTGATTTTCATGTAGTCAGGTGCAGCATTGGCAGTACCTACAATATCAACAATACTTTCCACAAAATATTCATTTAGTTTGTTTGCAATCACCAAAGAATTTGTTTCGGTACCGTTTTCGAATTGAACTTGATTTACACAATCATGCGGCTTCGAATTGATCAGTCTTTTTAAAGTCTTCTACATCTTTACACTGTCGCACTTGTTATTATCGATTTGTTTATCGTAGAATTTCCTTTTTTCTTCTCTAATTACATATACACATTTATTCCTAAGGGTTTTATATACCTCCCAATCATCATTTGATTTTGTGAATATACATTTATTGTATTGTTTGTCTCTCAAATTTTGAGCTGCCTTAATATTCTTGTTATACCAGGGTGTATTTTTTGTCGAGCAAATCACTTTTTTATCAGTTGCAAGATCTAAACAAGTTTTTATATTTCCTATTATGTTGTCATATATTTTTTCCATATTCTCACCAAAATTCCAATAGCAGCCAGCAAGTTCTCGTTCAAGTTTTTCGTACTTAATAGTATTTACGATTTTCTTAATTTTTGTATCAGAAAAATGCCCTACCAAGGGCAGCATTGTCCAACTGTGATCGCTATCTTTAGGTGTATGTACAGCTTTAATCCCTGCACATTCGAAATTTACAATAATAAGATCTAACAAAATCTCTGATAATGATGTTATTCTGGTACTCTCTTCAATTTTCTGCTTGAACCCATAGTTGTTTATGGTTTCTTTCAATTTCTTGTTTTCATGCTTTTACCATAATAATTTAAATTAAAATCACCTAAAAGTATTATATTGTTTCTAAAATTCCACATTTCTTCGCATTTTTCTTCAAAAAACGTTAAAAATGTATCCGCATCACTGTTTGGTGAACGGTAAAAAGTACAAAGATCATAACGTTTCCCAAATAATTTGAACTGTATATGTGCATACCAGTATGCATAGTCTAAAGTGGTACAATCGTCGAATAATGTGATCTGTATTTTGTGGTAAACATAAATCACTACACCTCCAGTATGTCTGGAGTTGGAGTTGCATCTGTAGGTTTTATAATTAGTAATTTGTAATTCACCATCAGTGATGTCTTCTGTAGCATGTGTTTCGGTAAGACATAATACAAGTGGTTTTCTCCATCTTAAAAACTGTTGAACTTCATCTATATTATTCAGGACTCCTTGTATGTTTAAATGGTATATTGAGTTATATTCATCACTTACAGATTTAGCCACGTCTTGCAAAGTGTCAACGACATTGTGAGATCAATTATTGACGGGGATCCCAAGCAACGTCCCATTACTCGTAGATCAGATTATAATGCAGTGAGTTTAGAACAATAAACATTAATCGTCTCAAAATTGAAATCAAATCAAAATAAAAACGACATTTTGTCTAAAAGGGTGCTTAATGAATGTTTTGGTATTATTGGAGCAAGAATATTAACCATGATAAATTACTGTTTTAAATCTGGCGAATTTCCGACAAAACTGAAGCGTTCTACCATAACTCCTGTTTAGAAAGTTAAGAATTCTGAGTTGTACACCAATAAAAATGTTCTGCCAGATGTTGAAAAAGTCTTTGAAGAAATTATTTACGAATATATCGAGGGAAATTTTAATCAAATTTCCAGCTGGATTCAGGAAGAAACACTAAACTGAAACGGTAATACAATTTTTTTATATTCAACCACTGCAAGTCACGCATTTTAACTGCTTGTAGGACTCGTCAAAAGGAGTTGATATACAAAAAATCACTTATATATAAACGTTGCATAATAAAAGAAATAGTGGAATATTAAAAATGTTAAACATAGGAATGTTATTACGCAGATTTTTTGATATTTTCGACCACTGCAGTGTGAAATGTTAGCGTTTTTTGTTTACTACTCTTATTGTTTATCTAAATTTGGCAAACTTTTTGTGTTGTTTTATGGTTTTCAGTACGAGTCTTTTGTTCAATCAGTGTATCAGTAAAGTAACTCTCTTATTATGCAACCTTTATACATGTGACTTTTGGTATATCAACTTCTTTTGCCGAGTTCTATAAGCTGTTAAGATAGATGACTCAACTCCGTATATACCTAAATATTCAATCGACTCAACATTTTCAATTATTTTACTTTTTATCCTAACTCTAGTAGTATTTTCATTTAGGTATTTCCCTATTAGCATACATTTTGTTGTTGTATGATTTTTGAGTCAGAATTGAGCATTTTTAAAGCAGTGTCTATATTTTCATCTGATATGTATATTAATGTATCATCTGCAAATATTTGAATTCTACAATAATCTAAAATATCACAAATGTCATTAATGTATAAAATAAATAATAGTGGATCTAATTTACTACCTTGTCATGCTATAAAACTTTCTACGAAATATCCTTAGAATGACCCTGAATTTCTCATATAGGTTACAGTTTGTCAGGTATGATAAGTGAGATCATCTCGTTGAAATAATGCGGGCAATATCGACTTTTCTGATCGTCCATTTTAAACTTATAGAACTAATTTAATTCTCACTTAAAACATGTGTCGATACGATACTCCTCATTTTCTGTAGAAAGCTTTATCATTTTTGTTCAATTTCCCAAACTATTATTGTTAAATATTTGTAAAAGATCTTTTTTAGTAAAAAGTTTTTATATATCTTGTCAAAGAAACGGAGTAACTTGTTTAGATCTTGCAACTGATAAAAAAGTGATTTGCTCGACAAAAAATACACCCTGGTATAACAAGAATATTAAGGCAGCTCAAAATTTGAGAGATAAACAATACAATAAATGTATATTCACAAAATCAAATGCTGTATGGGAGGTTATAAAACTCTTGGGAATAAATGTGTATATGTAATTAGAGAAGAAAAAAGGAAATTCTACGATAAACAAATCGATAATAACAAGTGCGACAGTGTAAAGATGTGGAAGACTTTAAAAAGACTGATCAATTCGAAGCCGCATGATTGTGTAAATCAAGTTCAATTCGAAAACGGTACCGACACAAATTATTTGGCGATTGCAAACAAACTAAATGAATATTTTGTGGAAAGTATTGTTGATATTGTGGGTACCGCCAATGCTGCACCTGACTATATGAAAATCAGTTTCTAGGGGGAAATGTTGCATACACTTTCAAAATTTCACAGCGTATCATTGAATTATCTAAGAAAAAAAGTAAACAGTTTAAAATCAAATAACAACTGTGCCGAAATCACTACTAAAAACGTGCTGAAAAACTGTTTCGAAATTTTGGGATATCCTGTATTAAATTGGATCAATTGTTCACTGAGAAGCAGTTCTTTTCCTGAAAATTTGAAATGCTCTACAATAACACCAGTTCCCAAAATAAAAAATTCTAAAAGATGCAGCGATATGAGACCAGTAAATGTGTTACCAGACATTGAAAAATTATTAGAGTCCATAGTGCATGACCAATTAATGCAATTTATAGAAGAAAACAAAATTTTAGTGGAGGCGCAAGCAGGCTTTCGAAAAAAATATTCCACAGAAACGGCTTTCCAGTTGGTAACTGAGAATTGGAGAAGAGCCATAGACTCAGAAGAAGTTGTCATAGCAGTATTTTTGGATTTGAAGAGGGCATTTGAAACAATTGGTAGAGATATTTTGTTAGGTAAATTGAAGGCATATGGTATAACAGGAAGTGTTTTAGATTGGTTTAGAAATTATTTGTCTAAAAGGATGCAAGTTAGAAAAGTTAATGACACTATTTCATCAAAAATTGAAAATACGTTGGGTGTTCCACAGGGCAGTATCCTGGGACCACTTCTTTTTATTTTATACATAAATGATTTACCTGCCATAGTCAAAAAATGTAAAATTCAGATTTTCGCCGATGACACTATGATTTATATAAGTACTAAAAATATTCAGTCTGGTATCTCTTATATAAATGAAGACTTGAAGCTTGTCTCAAATCTCAAAATGGTTAGCATGTAACAGACTAAAATTAAATGCAAGTAAAACGAAAGCCTTGTTAATCGGAAAAAAACAATGTACAAATGTTCAACTGAATATTGATGGTGAAGATATTGAATTCGTAGAAAATTTTAAATACCTGGGGGTCTTTGTTGACTCTCGATTAATTTTTGATATTCATTATGAAAAAGTTATAAATAAGATTAGTAGTAAAGTGGGATATTTATCGAGAGTTTCTGGATGTCTCAGTTCATATAGCAGAAAAATTATCTATAATACCATCATTCTTCCAAATTTCTTGTACTGTTCGACTATTCTACATTTAGCAAATAATTCCATTTTTGAAAGACTGCAAATTTTACAAAATAAGTGCATGAGAATAATACTAAATAAAGATAAATATACTCCAAGTAGGCAAATGCTTAGCAAATTAAAATGGCTCAATGTAAAAAATTTTATCAAATATCTTGTAATGATATTCATTTATAAAGTAAAAAATAATATATTTCCATCAAGTCTAACTAATTTAACATCATCAAATGTCGACCATCATTTACATAATACCAGAAATAAAGATGACTTCCATTTAATGACCAAAAAGTATAACATATGCTACAAATCTGTATTCCATCAAGGATTGATTGATATAATAAATTATACTCGGAGATAAAAGACCAGAAAACTTTGACAAAATTTAAAGTAAAATTGAGAAATCATTTGTTAAATCTACAATTATAGGTTGCCCAGCATTTACATCATACACCATATGGCTTGAATTTACTAGTTCTAAGTTGTTTACAATTATTCTGTTTATGTAGCCGAATGTGCTAAATAAATCTTTCTACTACTACTACCTTGAATGTATACTCACTTGTCAAGTCTTTCACAGTATCCAACATAATAAGCACGTGAGCCGTAAGCGTGATATTCCTATACTTGATCGGATCATTGTCAATGTTCAGCGTTAGATTGTACTTTCTGTCAGGCACCCAAGTTTCTTCCCAGAAAGCGCCTTCTTGCGTCTGATGTTTCAGCACCCATTCCACCGACTTGGCTATCACTGCTGGATCTATGTATATGTAGTTTTCCCATTCGTAGAAGCTGGCTTCTTGGAATATTCTTGCACAGTAGGCGGTTAACCAAACCGATGACGCTGACTGATTCCTACAGAAGACGAACATTTTTTATTATTAGGTAATTAAAAAAAGAAGATCTACAACAAACCTTCAGGTATGGAATGAGGATCAGGATTTCTAAAGGCTTGTAAACGTGAAAATCCGATTAGAGCAACAAATAATTCATTGAAGAACAGTTTAAGTATTTAGGAATAATGGTGATAGATAATGGAAGAGTTGAGGCAGAAATAAACTGGTGGATAGTTGCTTTGCAACATGGAAAATTTTACCCAAATTCAAATCTCGATATTTTTGATAGATATCGAAAAAATTTTGTTAGTTCATGTACCAAACACTGTATATCATATCTGAGAACATATTTATAGTGTACAACATATTTTGGACGAATGAATGTGAGAAATGTGCAACTACAATACAAATTTGATATTCCATTCAGCTGATTATAAATATTGCAGTTTCTGTTTTCTGGCAGCTTGCCAGCACTGGAGCGTCCTCGGCCTTCTGCTTTCTGGTTTGGCGATTCGCTCACAGACGGTTCTGCGTATCTTGTTTTTGTTGTAAAATAGACCATCAGTACAGCAGTGCCAAACCAATGTAGAGGGACAAGGTCAATGAAGGGGACAAGTAAAATTCAAAGAGATTCCGCGCAATGTCCTCTTTGGTCTGTCTATGTGGATAACATATACTTACCAATCGCTCCTAAATGTCGAGAACGATCCATCAGGTTGCATAAACGACAACTGCCTCTGATATCCGATGTTCATATGATGGAAAGCCTGCTTTGTATCGTCCTATTCTTTATCTGTGTGTATCTCATGTAGAGAAGGGTGTACATATTCACGGCGAATGAAAATATATTCTGTTCTCCACAATCCTGGAAAAATAGCATGTGTTATAGTTTTTCATACGTCCGACAGTTGAAAGAAACTCCAGCTTCGAATGCAATTGTTCAGACGCTTACGTAGGTTGGTGGTCTGACTAGTTTCCGACTTCAACGTGATGTTGGCAGCACTCTTTGTACTTTTTACCGTTCACAAACAGTGATGCGGATACATTTTTAACGTTTTTTGAAGTAAAATGCGAAGAAATGTGGAATTTTAGAAACAATATAATACTTTTAGGTGATTTTAATTTAAATTATTATGGTAAAAGCATGAAAACAAGAAAATTGAAAGAAACCATAAACAACCATGGGTTCAAGCAAAAAATTGAAGAGAGTACCAGAATAACATCATTATCAGAGATTTTGTTAGATCTTATTATTGTAAATTTCGAATGTGCAGGGATTAAAGCTGTACATACACCTAAAGATAGCGATCACAGTTGGACAATGCTGCCCTTGGTAGGGCATTTTTCTGATACAAAAATTAAGAAAATCGTAAATACTATTAAGTACGAAAAATTTGAACGAGAACTTGCTGGCTGCTATTGGAATTTTGGTGAGAATATGGAAAAAATATATGACAACATAATAGGAAATATAAAAACTTGTTTAGATCTTGCAACTGATAAAAAAGTGATTTGCTCGACAAAAAATACACCCTGGTATAACAAGAATATTAAGGCAGCTCTAAATTTGAGAGACAAATAATACAATAAATGTATATTCACAAAATCAAATGATTGGGAGGTATATAAAACTCTTAGGAATAAATGTGTATATGTAATTAGAGAAGAAAAAAGGAAATTCTACGATAAACAAATCGATAATAACAAGTGCGACAGTGTAAAGATGTGGAAGACTTTAAAAAGACTGATCAATTCGAAGCCGCATGATTGTGTAAATCAAGTTCAATTCGAAAACGGTACCGAAACAAATTCTTTGGCGATTGCAAACAAACTAAATGAATATTTTGTGGAAAGTATTGTTGATATTGTGGGTACTGCCAATGCTGCACCTAACTATATGAAAATCAGTTTCCACGGGGGAAATGTTGCATTCACTTTTAAAATTTCACAGCGTATCATTGAATTATCTAAGAAAAAAGTAAACAGCTGAGTCGAAATGACTACTAAAAACGTGCTGAAAAACTGTTTCGAAATTTTGGGATATCCTGTATTAAATTGGATCAACTGTTCACTGAGAAGCAGTTCTTTCCCTGAAAATTTGAAATGCTCTACAATAACACCAGTTCCCAAAATAAAAAATTCTAAAAGATGCAGCGATATGAGACCAGTAAATGTGTTACCAGACATTGAAAAATTATTAGAGTCCATAGTGCATGACCAATTAATGCAGTTTATAGAAGAAAACAAAATTTTAGTGGAAGCGCAAGCAGGCTTTCGAAAAAAATATTCCACAGAAACAGCTTTCCAGTTGGTAACTGAGAATTGGAGAAGAGAAGAAGTTGTCATAGCAGTATTTTTGGATTTGAAGAGGGCATTTGAAACGATTGATAGAGATATTTTGTTAGGTAAATTAAAGGCATATGGTATAACAGGAAGTGTTTTAGATTGGTTTAGAAATTATTTGTCTAGAAGGATGCAAGTTACAAAAGTTAATGACACTATTTCAACAAAAATTGAAAATACGTTGGGTGTTCCACAGGGCAGTATCCTGGGACCACTTCTTTTTATTTTATACATAAATGATTTACCTGCCATAGTCAAAAAATGCAAAATTCAGATTTTCGCCGATGACACTATGATTTATATAAGTACTAAAGATATTCAGTCTGGTATCTCTTATATAAATGAAGACTTGAAGCTTGTCTCAAAATGGTTAGCATCTAACAGACTAAAATTAAATGCAAGTAAAACGAAAGCCTTGTTAATCGGAAAAAAACAATGTACAAATGTTCAACTGAATATTGATGGTGAAGATATTGAATTCGTAGAAAATTTTAAATACCTGGGGGTTTTTGTTGACTCTCGATTAATTTTTGATATTCATTATGAAAAAGTTATAAATAAGATTAGTAGTAAAGTGGCATATTTATCGAGAGTTTCTGGATGTCTGAGTTCATATAGCAGAAAAAATATCTGTAATGCCATCATTCTTCCACATTTCATGTACTGTTCGACTATTCTATATTTAGCAAATAATTCTATTTTTGAAAGACTGCAAATTTTACAAAATAAGTGCATGAGAATAATACTAAATAAAGATAAATATACTCCAATTGGGCAAATGCTTAGCAAATTAAAATGGCTCACTGTAAAAATTTTTATCAAATATCTTGTAATGATATTCATTTATAAAGTAAAAAATAATATATTTCCATCAAGTCTAACTAATTTAACATCATCAAATGTCGACCATCATTTACATAATACCAGAAATAAAGATGACTTCCATTTAATGACCAAAAAGTATAACATATGCTACAAATCTGTATTCCATCAAGGGTTGATTAAATATAATAAATTATACTCGGAGATAAAAGACCAGAAAACTTTGACAAAATTTAAAGTAAAATTGAGAAATCACTTGTTAAATCTACAATTATAGGTTGCCCAGCATTTACATCATACACCATATGGCTTGAATTTACTAGTTCTATGTTGTTTACAATTATTCTGTTTATGTAGCCAAATGTGCTAAATAAATCTTTCTACTATCATAATGACGTCATTTTAATTTTTATAGATAACAATGTAAAATTACAATTGAATTGAAAATTTGACTAGGCCATCTTGTATAGGAGAAAAAGTGACAACGACAATGTGTAATTTACTTTGAAATCCTATATCAAATAAAGCAAAAAAATGCTTTTACGATAGAATTGGTATATGAAACAAATGATTATCTAATAATTTCAAGGGCTACCTAGAAAATTCTGTTTTTAATTTAAATATCTAAGGTTTACCAATATCAACGCATGACATATTATACATTTTTGAAATCAGACCTTCACCTGTGCAAAAATCCAATATGATGTCTATAAGAAGAAATAAAGTCGACGCTGGAGGACAAGAGACGAAACGTCATATTAAAATTCTAATTATTTCATTTTGTAAATGAGAAACAGTTGCAATGTTCATCTGCAAATTAGTTTGAAATCCCACTACAAAAAATGCCAGGAAATAATTTAAACGCTTTTCGGAAAATACGTTTTTTCTGTCTTTGTTCGGAAATACTTTCAATATGAAAACTTTATTTTGTTAGCATCCTAAATACGCAACTTTGTCCCCTTTTAAGCAACTTCGTGTCTCGTACTGTTTCCGAGATTCCAATGGTGAGTGCCGGTTCAGTCATAAAAATATTACATACAGCAGACGCTCGATAATGTAAACTAATTTAATCCAAGTGTGGTTCACATTATCGAAATGTTTACATTAGCGAACGTGATTTATATAATATTTGATTTATTAAAAGAAACGTTTAATACATACTATTTATAACAAAATAAACAAATATTCTAACAGCGATACGTATTTTTTTAATTAGAAGAAAAATAATTAACAATTTTTGTCTGCGTAAATTTGCGCTTAGCATTGTCTTCCAATGCCTGCGCCCGTAATTTACGAAAAACTAAAATATCCGTGTATGAAACTTCTTTTCTTTCAGCCCAATCTAAAGCTTCGTTAAAAACTTGTATAGCTTGCGCGTCAGTCACTACACTTCTGACTTCAATGGTATCGTTCTCATCATCCTCACTGTCTATATCCTCCTCCTTATCAGCATCATTCGTCTGCTTATCTTCGTTCCATAAATTAATATCAGCAGGAGTACAAACAATGTTGGGATTCACTGTTTTCAATAAATCAACAACATCCAATGACACACTAATAACATTATCATTATTGGATCGCAAACGTTCTCTAATTACGCTTAAGGGGACATCGTCTTCTTCATCATCTTCATTATTGGTACAAAAGACATTGTTCCAACATTTTTGAATAGTTTGCTGGTTAAGTTCATTCCAGGCCATATGTAAATCTAAAACAGCTTCTCTTTTTTAAAGCCTCAGATAAGTTTTCAGGATTCTTCGATAAGACAGACGAAAGTAGAAACTTCCTATAGTATAGTTTGGTGAGTCTTATTATATTCTGGTCCATCGGTTGAATTAACGGTGTTACGTTGGGCGGCATGTACATGACGAACATTGACCCATCCCTGCTCCTCTGTTGTTACTCGGGAGGATGACGGTGCATTATCCAATAGTAACAACGCTTTTATTGGAAGCTTCTGTTGTTTTAGGAAACCTTTTACCTACAAATTGAAAACACATCTCCAAATTATGAATAGAGCATTTGTGATAATTGATTGTCATACCTGAGGGACAAAGCACCTGTGGAACCATTACAGGAATGTACTGCTAGTCATCCAAGCGGTTTTTGAACAGTCATAATCAACAGGGATATTAACATTTTTAAATGAGCGCGGATTTTTTGCTTTCCCAATTACCAGTGGCTTTATTTTGTGTGAACCATTAGCATTAGTGCAGGCTAGAAACGTTATTCGTTGTTTCTCCGGCTTTCTTCCCGGGGCAGATTTTTCAAATGATGCAGCATAGGTTTTCTCTGGTAACATTTTCCAATAAAGGCCACTTTCATCTGCGTTGTAAATTTGTTCCATTCTTAAATCTAGCTCGGTAATTGTTTTCATCAATTTTTTTTTGAATGGTTGCACTAATTGTGGTTGTGCTGATAATTTTTCACCAGATATAAACCTCAGTCGAATTCCATATCTTGTTTTGAATCGTTGTAGCCAGCCATCACTAGCTACGAAATTTTCAGTTTCTTTCAGTTTTTCATTTAACAGTCTCGCTCTCTGTTTAAGTACTTCGCCACTAATTGGGACATGATTTTCCCGTTGTTTTAAAAACCACTTATACAGGGAATTTTCCATTTTAGGTGCCTTCGCATTTTTTAAAGTTTTTCTTTTTCCCGGACCTCCAAATGTATTGCACGTTCTTGGTAAAATTTGAGTTTTCATACGCTTAATTTTACAGATTGTTGCTTTCGATACTCGATATTTTTTTGCTAACTGTGTCACTCCCGCACCTAGTGCAACTTCATCTATGATTTTCACTTTCTCACTCAACTTTAAACACTTTCTTTTATAGGATGTGGATGCCATAGTCGTAAAATATATTAACACGTGCAATGTATTCACTTAAGTTCAAAAATGAAATACATACGTACGTATAAACGTATCCTAAACGATCATACGACTGACCGAGTTTGTCGTATTTTATCGCAGAGGTGAATCCCCTACACTCTACATCATAAATCGGGGACTCCCCGACGCCCGACATAAATCATCGAGGCTTCAGCATTTTACCGTCGCGCTGTTTCCGTGCGCCGAGAGTTGTTTACGTTATCGCGCGTTCCGTTTGATCCTATAGAACGAAGTTTGTGTTTACATTAGCGCAAGTTTTCATTATCCCGTGTTTACGTTATCGAGCGTCTGCTGTATTTTTTTAATCGATAGCTATGAGCTATTGAAGTATTCCGAAGTCATAAACAAGCTGAAAGTATCAAAGAGCCTCAAGTGGCATTGTGTGGCAACACTGTAGGGTATTTTCAGCGGGTGATAAAGTCTGCTTTCATTCAAGGATGTATTTAAAACATGGCCGCATAAAATTTTGGGAAAACTTTTTATTCGACAACGAAGAATGTGTTTTTTGGATTCAGTTGAAAGTGTTGGCAGGAACCAAAAAATTAATAGAATAAAAGGAGCTTTGTGGATTTGAACCCCCGTCCCGCGGTTCTGCAATCGTTACTCTTTCCCATTACACCACGAGGCCTCCTGGTCTCTTGGCCTTTAAATATTGTATTAGGGGCTAATACCGAGCATTTTGCCTAATTGTTCAGACGGTCACAACTTATTTACTATTAGTCAGATCTCATTCTGTAGGCCTCATAAATGCCTAAACGTCTTATTTGAAGACTTTTTTCGTCCCTGTCAATACTCTCGATTTAATTACAAAAAACCCGTTTTCTCATTCTTTGTTGTTGAATAAAAAGTTCTCCCACAAAAATTGGCGTACAAATTTTAAGCGTCCGTGTTTTAAACAACTTACATCAATAACACCTTTACAATTATTTCGCAAACCACGGGTATTTTCGTCTGATAGGCTATGAAGCATTCAAAGATTGAACTGCTGGTAGATTTGCTTACCATTGGTAGGTTGAGCAGAGACGTGGCGTTCACCGGCATGGTAGGAAAGACAGGTCCAACAACGTCTCCGACGACGCTCAATCTGGCCTTGTTAGAGCCGTACACGTAGTATCGATCGTACTCGTACGGAATTATGGGCGTTTCGGTCACATTGACGTGCATGTACTGGAAAGCATACGCACGGTTGCTCAGATCTAATAGCATAGATTGATGACGATACTGCGGTACTCCGTCAGACTGAAAAATAAATTCAACTTCAATAATGTTATTGATAAAGTAATCAGTGATGGGAAATTGTCTGCGTCATGTAATAATAATTTTTGGCGCCCGCTATAGATACGGATAGAACTGCCTGTATACACAGACTGAAACAAAAGTTTGGAACGAATCGAATATCTGACGCACGACTCGTCTAATTTTTTCAAAAATCGGTAGGTTTATGTTCGAAACCACGACGGAACCGATGATGATATCCGCGATGTTGCCAAATCTACAGTTTTTCAGAAAGTGATAGCAACTTTTGTTTTTCTTATATATTCGTATTCTGCGAGAAATTCTGAGAATAATATAGTGTTATTTGTATATGGCGGTAGATTCTGATATTAGTTATATATTTACTGAAATTTCAGCGAGCCATGCTCACGAGGTAAAATATTCCTGTGGTTTTCAAGTAACATTTTAATTGTTTTACTTATAAGCTGAGGGAGGACGTGAAATATTTTACCTCCGGGTCCTTATGTTTCTTACAGCTATCTGATTATTTTAATTTAGTTCAGGTTAATTTAAAAATTTGGATAGTGCAATCACGATTGTCCTTGTACACCGTGATTGAACAGGAATTTTGTTTTAATTTTAAATTTTTGAATTGATGTAACCCAAGACTAAATGGTTTCATTTTAAGTTAACTGTTTAATTCTTGGAAACAAATTAGAAGGGGGGATCGTTAGTCAAATCGTTATTTCGGGTTATTTTTCTATTTAGGCTTCTACCTTTGGATTCTGACTTAGGGTTCTACCTTCGGGTTCTATCGTCAGGTTACATCTGGCACTTCCTGCTCTCAGTAATAGTCAAACACCTGCATAGGTCGTTTTCTTTTTTTATTTTAATATTTACTGGAAACCATTTAGCTAGGGGGTAATACAAATTAATTTTCTTTAGCCTGTCCTCCAGGGCTTCGCTTTATTTTTTTTTTATTTTTGTTCAATAAATGTCTTTATGCCTTGTGAGTTTGTGTCTCTTTAGCTCCAGAGACTTTTTAATTCATTTACTAGTTTTTGAAACTAGGTGACGCCCAAACCGCACCCGCTTTGCATCCAAAAACAAAGGTACAAAGAATCTCACCCTGGGGTCACATATCTACCGGCTAACCCTGTTTTGGTGGGATAACAAACTCTACTAACACAACTCAATGGACTTTTGAATGTCAGAAATGACAGAATTACTTTCTTTGAAGGTCATTGCTTAGGTGGAAATAATACCAATTATTGTATGAATATTAATGTTTGGCCGCGAATATTTCGAAAACTATGAGGTCTACGTATGAGTATCTTCAATAAAAAGTCTTTAAATTTCTCGCAGAATAAAAATATAGAATAAATTATAAAGCATTCCATAAGAAAAAGAAGTTGCTATCAGTTTATGAACAACTATAGATTTGATAACATTGCGGATATCATCAACGGATCTACCTTTTTTTTTTTAATAGATAATTCGTCACATATTTTTGGTGGTAACTATATAACAAAGAATAATGATAATAAATAACTTTATTATTCAGAATAAATGAGTGAAGTTTGTCCATGTCGCTACTGCGACATCCAAACTAATTTTTTGTGGAATAAAGTAAAAAATAATAGTAAAGATAAATGTAATCCACGGATATAAGCTAATTCATTTCTTATTCACTTATGATTTGACATTTGCAAGTAAACTTAGCCTCACTTAGGTATGCTATTGTCTACATAGTCTACATCAAAATATAGACAAAGTCCACGCGAAAGCTCCCATCACTGGCGATTATACAAAAAGATACAAATAAAATGATAAAATAAGTATCTTTTTTCATATACGTAAATCGAATCCAGAAAGTCAAATATACAGTGTGACGTGAATGGTATTTAATGGAGCGAAAATAATACGTACCTCGACGTGTAATTTCTTTGTGATTTGATCTTTTCCAATCAGTGTAGAGGCATGAATTGTCACCTCAATATCTCCCAGTTTTGTAGCTACTATTGGTATGTATACTACTGATGCGTCTTGAGCCTACAAAAAAATCAATTCAATTAGGATGGATGAGACATTTTCATAAAAACTGTCTGAATATTAAAAACATGATATTTGTGAATTATTTTGAGGGCTAATTAAGATTTTATTTTAAATATATTCTTTGTTTTTTAAATGTTTATGGAAATATAACAAAACCGACGCGGCCACTTTTAAAGCGTTTTTATTTCGAAATTGTCTTGTGATTTGTGTATAGCAAAATACTTGATGGAGACAACTCCAGTTGAGTGGTCTGTTTATTCGCTTCGATAAAATAAAGGTGGGCTTTCTAAAACAAATGATAGCATTTTACGTTGCTAAGAAGCTGATTTTTTACGTTTAAATCAACTTTTAATGCATCGGTGTTATTGTTAACCATTAAAAATGGCTCGCGATAAAGCTGTTTCTGTCGAAATAAGAAAAGTGATCATTCACCATCTGCAGTTTTTTTTAATTCGTAAGATATTTTTTCTTTGTTATCAAAAAATTTTGTATATTACGCTGATATTAAATAAAAATATCGTATGTTCTCAGAAATTTATTTTAGTTTTTAATAAATATTTTCACTTCATGAGCGGAGTGTCGAAAAATCCCACTAGCGTTCAAACAAAAGAAAAGGCGATTAGCGTGTGCTAAAGAACGGGCAATGTGGATTTACGAAGACTGGAAAAAGATCACTTTTAGCGATTAATCGAAATTTGATGTTTGATTAGGTGACCACCGATGACAGGATATAAGAAACAAAAAACGAAGCGTATCATAAAGACTACCTAAAGAGAAAAGTAAAGTTTCCGTCAGGTTTAGTGATATCGGGAAGCATATGAATGGTACAGACAAAGAATAGGGAATGTCAGTGTTTTTTTTTATTTTTCCATTGGAAACAAATCCTTGTATATGATACTTTAATTCCCCTTTAAAATAAGTAAAAAGATGGCATCAAAAAGACATTTTTGTTTATGTCCGAAACGAAAAGAACCGGGAATGTCCATGTCATACTGACCAAGAAGAAGGATTATCCAAAATGTCAGTTGTAACTTTGAGATTAAAATTTACATAAAGTTTGTGGTATACTAATTTGAAGTTGAATATGTTTTCTGATCAACAAAGAAAAGAAAGAAAACTGGTAGAACAAAAGTTTTCAAAATACAGCAGACGCTCGATAACGTAAACACGGGATAATAAAAACTTGCGCTAATGTAAACACAAACTGCGTTCTATGGGATCAAACGGAACGCGCGACAACGTAAACAACTCTCGGCGCACGGAAACAGCGCGACGGTAAAATGCTGAAGCCTCGATGATTTATGTCGGGCGTCGGGGAGTCCCCGATTTATGATGTAGAGTGTAGGGGATTCACCTCTGCGATAAAATACGACAAACTCGGTCAGTCGTATGATCGTTTAGGATACGTTTATACGTACGTATGTATTTCATTTTTGAACTTAAGTGAATACATTGCACGCGTTAATATATTTTACGACTATGGCATCCACATCCTATAAAAGAAAGTATTTAAAGTTGAGTGAGAAAGTGAAAATCATAGACGAAGTTGCACTAGGTGCGGGAGTGACACAGTTAGCAAAAAAATATGGAGTATCGAAAGCAACAATCTGTAAAATTAAGCGTATGAAAACTCAAATTTTACAAAGAACGTGCAATACATTTGGAGGTCCGAGAAAAAGAAACACTTTAAAAAATGCGAAGGCACCTAAAATGGAAAATTCCCTGTATAAGTGGTTTTTAAAACAACGGGAAAATCATGTCCCAGTTAGTGGCGAAGTACTTAAACAGAGAGCGAGACTGTTACATGAAAAACTGAAAGAAACTGAAAATTTCGTAGCTAGTGATGGCTGGCTACAACGATTCAAAGCAAGATATGGAATTCGACTGCTGTCTATATATGGTGAAAAATTATCAGGTACACAACCACAATTAGTGCAACCATTCAAAGAAAAATTGATGAAAACAATTACCGAGCTAGATTTAAGAATGGAACAAATTTACAACGCAGATGAAAGTGGCCTTTATTGGAAAATGTTACCAGAGAAAACCTATGCTGCATCATTTGAAAAATCTGCCCCGGGAAGAAAGCCGGAGAAACAACGAATAACGTTTCTAGCCTGCACTAATGCTAATGGTTCACACAAAATAAAGCCACTGGTAATTGGGAAAGCAAAAAATGCGCGCTCATTTAAAAATGTTAATATCCCTGTTAATTAAGACTGTTCAAAAACCGCTTAGATGACTAGCTGTATATTCCTGAAATGGTTCTACAGGTGCTTTGTCCCTCAGGTATGACAATCAATTATCGCAAATGCTCTATTCATAATTTGAAGATGTGTTTTCAATTTGTAGGTAAAAGGTTTACTAAAACCACAGACGCTTCCAATAAAAGCGTTGTTACTATTGGATAATGCACCAAGTCATCCTCCCGAGCAACAACTGAGGAGAAGGGATGGGTCAATTTTCGTCATGTACATGCCGCCCAACGTAACACCGTTAATTCAACCGATGGACCAGAATATAATAAGACTCACCAAACTATACTATAGGAAGTTTCTACTTTCGTCTGTCTTATCGAAGAATCCTGAAAACTTATCTGAGGCTTTAAAAAAGTAACATTACGAGAAGCTGTTTTAGATTTACATATGGCCTGGAATGAACTTAACCAGCAAACTATTCAAAAATGTGGGAACAATCTCTTTTGTACCAATAATGAAGATGCGTAATTAGAGAACGTCTGCGATCCAATAATGATAATGTTATTAGTGTGTCATTGGATGTTGTTGATTTATTGAAAACAGTGAATCCAAACATTGTTTGTACTCCTGCTGATATTAATTCATGGAACGAAGATAAGCAGACGAATGATGCTGATAAGGAGGAGGATATGGACAGTGAGGATGATAAGAACGATCCCATTGAGTCAGAAGTGTAGTGACTGACGCGCAAGCTATACAAGTTTTTAACCAAGCTTTAGATTGGGCTGAAAGAAAAGAAGTTTCATACACGGATATTTTAGTTGTTCGTAAATTACGGGCGCAGGCATTGGAAGACAATGCTAAGCGCAAATTTACGCAGACAAAAATTGTTAATTATTTTTCTTCTAATTAAAAAAATACTTATCGCTGTTAGAAGATTTGTTTATTTTGTTATAAATAGTATGTATTAAACGTTTCTTTTAATAAATCAAATATTATATAAATCACGTTCGATAATGTAAACATTTCGATAATGTGAACCACACTTGGATTAAATTAGTTTACATTATCGAGCGTCTGCTGTATTTCAATGTCTTGAAGAAAAAAATATTTTGTAACCTTAAAGAAATAAACAAACTTCAAGTCAAAATTAGATAACGTCCGAACTATTTTGTGATAGGGCTCCTATAATTTTATCGCCCTTGTCCGTCTTCTCTTAGTATAACTCCACTTTGGTAACAAATATTCAAAAAAGTAGCAGTTGTTATAGCAGAATTAGTACAAACCTTGATGTAGATGAAAAATTGATGTTCTCCAAATGACGTTCTGGGATTGTATGCTCTTACAATGCCATTCTCTTCGACATGGACGAATTTATAGTCTGGAGATCCATTCAATACAACCGTGGCTTCGATGTTTTCTGTCATATAATTGAAAACTGTCACTCTTATGCCTACTTGTTCTCCTTGCATACATCTATTAGGCATCTCCACATTGATAAAAAAGGGTAGTACTCCGAGATACTAAAAAATGTGCGTTTCGTTAATAAGACACCAATCTGTCCGTACGACAAGTTATAAAAGATAGTAAAGAAATAAAAGTCTTAGTTAATGCGATTTCATTCTATTGACACGTCGTTCGTGCAACTGCCGTCGTGTGCCGAAAAATATCACTTTGCGCACTTGTTAGGTACACATTTTTAGTTTTACGATAGCGTTCAAGTAATTTTCATTGAGTATTTTTTATATTAATGTATTATTGTAAGTATTTACTATACTAAGTGACATATAAATCCGAACACCCAGTTTAAATGGTTTTATTTTATTAAAATTTTGTATAAGTACTTAATGAAGCATAATAAGTAAATGATAAAAATTTCAAAATGATTGCACTGCTTTAAAGCCCTTTGACCTTTAATAATGTGTGGATGCACCCTGATGTGCTACGCATTCTCCAACGCGCCTAGGCATGCTTCTGATCAGGTGGTCAATGTCCTCCTGTGGTATCTCATTCCAGGCAACCACCAACTCCTCTCGAAGTGCTTGCAAATTGAGCAATCTCCTACCCATCATATCCCACACGTGCTCAATTGGGGATAAGTCGGGAGATCTTGGTGGCCATGGTAACAATGTGACATCATTATGTTGAAAGAAGTCTATTGTGACTCTTGCAACATGTGGTCGGGCATTATCTTGTTGGAAAGTTGGATCTGCCAGGGTTCTAGAACTTCGTGGATATAACGCTGCGCGTTCATGTTACCTCTGATGAAGATTAAAGGTGACCTGGAACCATAAGCTATAGCACCCCAAACCATAACTCCAACAGTCTGATGGAAATGTCTTTCAACAAAAAACTGTGGATTCCTCCTTTCACCACGTCGCCTTCTAACCCTGGCACGACCATCGTGCATGCCTAAACAAAATCGAGACTCGTCACTAAAGACAATACTGTTCCATTCCTGATCCCAGAGTGACCGTTGTCAGCGCCACTCAAGGCGATTACGTCGGTGTTCTCGAGTTAAAGGGAGGACCCAATGTGGCCGATATGAAAACAAGCCAAAACTTCTCATTCGTCGGTAAACACTTCGCATGCCAATAGGTCTTCCGTGTTCTGCAAACCATTCATTTGCAATGGACCTGGTAGTGGAGAAACGGTCCCTTAAGGCCAATAATCTTAGGTGGCGATCTTCACGGTCTGTTGTTCTACGGCGGCGTCCAGTGCCCCTTGCTCTTTGCGTACGGCCTTCTCGAAGCCATGCCTGACAACACCTAACCACAGTGTCTACACTTCTTTGCACTCTAACTGCAATTGCCCGAAAAGAAAGTCCAGCTTCCCGAAGTCCCACTATACGACCCCTATCAAACTCACTAAGTTGACGAAATCTTACAGGTCTCCGTACTCTAGGCATCGTAACCGATCGTAAAGGATGTCAAGAACCAAAATCCGACAACGTTGATTCTTTACTGCGACTGAAATATTCATTTTTAGAGCATTAGTGAATTAAAAAAAAGCAGTATAAAAACCGGAATGTCCAACTGTTAAGGCTGAAAATTTTTTCACTTGTTATTTACAGTAGGATAAATACATTCACCAACTTTTATTAAAATAAAACCATTTAAACTGGGGGTTCGGATTTATATGTCACTTAGTATATTTATATTATAATGACAACTTTATACAGGGTGGCCCAACGAAAAGGGAGACTTGTGATTCTCCTAGTACATTTTGGGAAAAACGCTCAGTCAGGTCAATTTTGATTTCTCATCTATAGCCGTAAAATGAAGGGTGATCCAAAAATAAGTTTGTATAATAAAGTTTATACCTATTTTCAATTGTTGTTAAGCTATTTGAGTTTATAATAATATAAAAAATACCCATTCTCAACAGAAACCCCAAAAAAGTATCTTTTTAGAGATAAATGTACAATTTTTCAAAATTCGATAATTTGAATTATAGCAAAAAATTGAGGTAACAGCTTTTTTAGGATAGTCCAAAGATCAAAAAGATGCATCGAAAAATTGCAAAGACAAAAATTGAGAATCTGACAGCCCCAAACTGCTAAAAAACCTAACCTTCACGCACCCTGTAAAGTAGATAAATAAAAGAGATATACCCTATATATGTGATCAAAGAGGTGGTCAAGACCTCCCGAATACCGCAACTTGATATCTCTTTTCGTTACGAAAATATCGAGATTTGAATCTGAGTAAAATTTTCCATGTTGCGAACCAATTTATTTGATTTTTATTTTTATATTTACAATAATAAATCATATTTTGCCACAACATTTAGAACACTACATAGAATTGAATAATCATTACCAATTATTATACAAGAGGAAATATAGATTTTCATTTACAAAATTGCAATAGTAATATAACTAGAAAATCAATATTTCAGAAAGGATTACTGATACTTTAATAAACTAAATAATGATGTAAAATCTACTTGCAATTTGAAGACGTTTCAATGAAAATTAAAGGAACATTTCATGGTCAGTGAAAATTCTTAGAGATGCAAATTTTCTCTTTCTAAATATCTGTATGTTATGTAATTGTTGTAGTTTTTTAAAAGAACGTAATTGTAACAATCATGCTAAATAAATTTTAAACAAACAAGTCTATGAATGAATTTTTAAATTTTTCGAATCAGTAAGCAATATATTTTTATTTTAAAATTGTTTAAACAGTGTTTTGTTTTTAACAAAGGCAGTTTATCTCACTCCGTATTATATTCACATTTATTGTGATATTTTAACTATGCTACTTTTCTTTAGACCTGAGACACAGTGGAGGATCGTTATAGATGCACTCACAAGAAACCTAACCTAATCTACCTACGTGTCAGAATGACTGCGCTTACCTCGATAGCCTTATTGAGCATTCCAAAGCCTAGTGAGGGGCTCATCGAAAATGCTGAGATCATCCAATGAACGGGCCTTGACGGTACAGGGATATTGAAAATATAACGGCCATGCGGGCCAATATTCACATCTTTCCATAACCATACGTTCTCGTATTGCCTTTGTATCCTGTTAAACCTAAATTTCCTGAATAGTGCTAGTTCAGTCATGTTCTCGTAATGGCCTAAAAAGTTTATTATAGGGTAAAAAACAATTTTCTAAAATGGCAACGGAATATCAATATCGTTTTCACTTTTCCATATGAACCAGGAGTGGCAAAATCGTTTCACACGATTACCAAATGGTAACAACCGAAAATACCAACAGTACACAGGGTGTTTTCAAGGTTGAGTCATTTATTTTACCAACAAGAATATTAAGGCAGCTCAAAATTTGAGAGACAAACAATACAATGAATGTATATTCACAAAATCAAATGATGATTGGGAGGTATATAAAACTCTTAGGAATAAATGTGTATATGTAATTAGAGAAGAAAAAAGGAAATTCTACGATAAACAAATCGATAATAACAAGTGCGACAGTGTAAAGATGTGGAAGACTTTAAAAAGACTGATCAATTCGAAGCCGCATGATTGTGTAAATCAAGTTCAATTCGAAAACGGTACCGAAACAAATTCTTTGGTGATTGCAAACAAACTAAATGAATATTTTGTGGAAAGTATTGTTGATATTGTGGGTACTGCCAATGCTGCACCTGACTATATGAAAATCAGTTTCCAGGGGGAAATGTTGCATACACTTTTAAAATTTCACAGCGTATCATTGAATTATCTAAGAAAAAAAGTAAACAGTTTAAAATCAAATAACAACTGTTTCGAAATTTTGGGATATCCTGTATTAAATTGGATCAATTGTTCACTGCGAAGCAGTTCTTTTCCTGAAAATTTGAAATGCTCTACAATAACACCAGTTCCCAAAATAAAAAATTCTAAAAGATGCAGCGATATGAGACCAGTAAATGTGTTACCAGACATTGAAAGATTATTAGAGTCCATAGTGCATGACCAATTAATGCAGTTTATAGAAGAAAACAAAATTTTAGTGGAGGCGCAGGCAGGCTTTCGAAAAAAATATTCCACAGAAACAGCTTTCCAGTTGGTAACTGAGAATTGGAAAAGAGCCATAGACTCAGAAGAAGTTGTCATAGCAGTATTTTTGGATTTGAAGAGGGCATTTGAAACGATTGATAGAGATATTTTGTTAGGTAAATTAAAGGCATATGGTATAACAGGAAGTGTTTTAGATTGGTGTAGAAATTATTTGTTTAAAAGGATGCAAGTTAATGACACTATTTCATCAAAAATTGAAAATACGTTGGGTGTTCCACAGGGCAGTATCCCGGGAGCACTTCTTTTTATTTTATACATAAATGATTTACCTCCCATGGTCAAAAATGCAAAATTCAGATTTTCGCCGATGACACTATGATTTATATAAGTACTAAAAATATTCAATCTGGTATCTCTTATATAAATGAAGACTTGAAGCTTGTCTCAAAATGTTTAGCATCTAACAGACTAAAATTAAATGCAAGTAAAACGAAAGCCTTGTTAATCGGAAAAAAACAATGTACAAATGTTCAACTGAATATTGATGGTGAAGATATTGAATTCGTAGAAAATTTTAAATACATGGGGGTTTTTGTTGACTCTCGATTAATTTTTGATATTCATTATGAAAAAGTTATAAATAAGATTAGTAGTAAAGTGGGATATTTATCGACAGTTTCTGGATGTCTGAGTTTATATAGCAGAAAAATTATCTATAATACCATCTTTCTTCCAAATTTCTTGTACTGTTCGACTATTCTATATTTAGCAAATAATTCCATTTTTGAAAGACTGCAGATTTTACAAAATAAGTGCATGAGAATAATACTAAATAAAGATAAATATACTTCAATTAGGAAAATGCTTAGCAAATTAAAATGGCTCAATGTAAAAATTTTTATCAAATATCTTGTAATGATATTCATTTATAAAGTAAAAAATAATATATTTCCATCAAGTCTAACTAATTTAACATCATCAAATGTCGACCATCATTTACATAATACCAGAAATAAAGATGACTTCCATTTAATGACCAAAAAGTATAACATATGCTACAAATCTGTATTCCATCAAGGATTGATTGAATATTGAAAATTATAGTCGGAGATAAAAGACCAGAAAACTTTGACAAAATTTAAAGTAAAATTGAGAAATCACTTGTTAAATCTACAATTATAGGTTGCCCAGCATTTACATCATACACCATATGGCTTGAATTTACTAGTTCTAGGTTGTTTACAATTATTCTGTTTATGTAGCCAAATGTGCTAAATAAATCTTTCTACTACTACCACTAACTTGTAGAACTCATCAAAAGAAGTTGATATACGTTGATATAAGTTAGTTTACAAAAAATCTGTGTAATAACATTCTTATTTTTTGATGGTTATAATTTTTCATTATTTCTTTAATTATGCAACTTTTATATAGGTAGGTGATTTTTGGTATATCAACTTCTTTTGACGGGTCCTACAAGCAATTAAAATAAATGACTCAACTTGGAAAACACCCTGTATATAAAAAATCGACAAGTCGCTAACCCCCACACAAGCGAAACGGTAGTTTTCTTTGATTCCCCCTCACCCGGGGTGGTTCTATTTATGGTACAATCACTATTTTTTCTCGTTAATTAGCAAAAATATACATACAGTAGTGTACGTTAGAACAGTAATAAAATAAAAAACTTAGTAGCTAGATGACATCAAGTACCTTCTTACGTTGACTGAATGGGGACAAAGTTGTGCGTTTATGTAACTAAGAAAACAAAGTTTGCTTTCGATAAGCACTGCATTTGAAGTACTACAAAATATTGAACTTCTCTAACTGTGTAATAAAATAAAATTGATAATACTTACATCCTGCCTCGTCAGATCCATCTTCGCAGTCTCTAAAGTAATCACAGCGTTTTCTTAAATTGTAGCAGCGTCCGTTTAAGCATTCTCCATATCCTTGCGTAGCATTGCAGAATGACGGTCTTCGATGCACCAAAAAGTCAGTAAACACCACTAGGCCCAGATATTCAAACGTTCTATTCGCATCAATACCTGACAAATAATCACTAACGTCATGTCTTGATCAAACTAAGTTGTTAAGCACAATTTCTTGAGTGATAAATGGCATAAATTGAATAATATTGGAAAATCTTTTCAATAGTGATGCTGGAGAGATTATACGGTTTGTGCAGGATGGGCAAGTAATTCGCATATTAAAACGAAAATGACAAGGAAATTTCCAGTGCAGCGAGATGAAACTTAAAAGCGCACGCCTAGGAGTTTACACAAAACAAACGTCCGCGGATATAAGTAGATTGGATATGTATGTATAACGGTAAGAGATGTAAGACATGTAAACTCGTGTTTTAGCCTTGGGTTTATTCGTCAATTACTGGCTGTTGTCGCTATCTCCGCACGGAAGGGAGCCTTAACTACGATATTCTTTCATTAAATTCAGCCAAAGCGCGGTGAGGTAAATAGAAATGCTTACCAAATGTGCTGGAAGGGAAGTAAACCAGCTCGTCAGGATTGCCCTCATGCGAGAACCACGTTAGATGATGGGTTCCGTTCGTGTCATCGTCAAACGTCGACATTTTCGAAATAACCTTCGCATACGTAAGTTCATTTCCTGCTTGCATCGTGTAGAAAGCTCGATCGATTCCTGATAGACCGACATACGAGCCTGGCTCTCCATATATGGCCACTTCCACTTTGTGCCCAGTCCTTGCTTTTTTGTTGTTGACGAACACTTTGAACTGAAAAGAAATTAACATATAATGAACATTGTGTAGGAATGTATTTTGGAGTAGATCCATACACGTTTAGCGACAAACAATAGACATATATCGCACTGAAGAGCTGCTAATGAGCACGAAACAGCGCTGACCGAGGTTGGTCATGGTTACAGGAGAAGAAAAACAAGCATGCCCCTTTCAGCTAGCAATAACCAACCTATTTTCAAAACGTAAAAATTAACGTAAGTAACAAAAGATTCAGGATATCAAAAAAGCAATAAGTCTTAAGGTTAATTTGGAGGTTAATTTTGAAAATTCAAATAGCAACCAAACTCTCTTCTTGTCAGCATATCCGTGTAGGGCTTGAGATTCTACATGAAAATGCATTTTATTAGATGGGCTCAAGTGGTCACAAGGTCCAATCAGTACTATCTCTACCGGAATGTCTGGTCACCGAGCACTTGGCAACCACATAATTTTCATTTTGAAAAAAAGGTCCCAACAAAAGGTGCAGGATCAAATGAGATAATGACCTTTGATATCATTTGGAGGTTAATTTTGTTAGTTCAAGTAATAACAATTGTTATCTCAAACTCAGCAAGAATCTGCTGTCCAAAACGGTTATTATTATTTGAATTCGCAAACTCTCTCCAAATGTAATATGTCTTTATTTCATCATTAACGTTACAACGTAACATTAAAAGTATAGGGTTGTCCAATAGGGACGCAGGAAAGTAAACGTCAATTTGACATAGACGCCATCTTTGTTTTCTGTCACCGACATGTCATTTTGTTAGTTGAATGTTTACCATTGATCGCTATGGAGTCGTATTCGATTGAAGACCGCATTAAAGTTATTCAAGAGCACTACAAAAATGGTGCAAAAATAAAAAACACGTTTCGCGCGCTTCGTGAACATTTCGGTCGCAACAACCGCCCAAACGAAATAACCATCGGTCGTCTGGTGCGTAAATTCGAGGCAACAGGTTCTGTGGCAAATCTGCCAGGCTCTGGCCGGTCGAGGAGCGTTCGCACACCGGAAAATATTGATGTTGTGAAGGAGAGTGTGAGAGACGATCCGAAACAATCAACAACGCGTCGATCCCAAGAATTGGGCATTTCGAGAACCAGTTTGCTCCGCATTCTCCACAAGGATTTGAATGTACACGCGTACAAGATCCAATTGACGCAAGAGCTGCGACGGGCCGACCATTTTTCGCGCCGAACGTTCTCAGATTGGCTCCTTGAATACCGCCAAATTGATGCCAATTTTTCATCAAAAATCATGTTCAGCGACGAAGCGCATTTCACTTTGAATGGGACGGTAAAAATCCCCGTGAGTATCAAGAGCAGCCGATGCATCCTCAAAAAGTGACTGTGTGATGTGCATTGTGGTCAAAAGGCATCATCGGACCTTACTTTTTCGAAAATGCGACCGGGGACGCCGTTACCGTCAATTCTGAGCGATATCTCGTGATGATAGAGGACTATTTTTTGCCGCAACTTGAAGGAATGGATATGGAAGATATTTATTTCCAACAAGACGGTGCAACATGCCACACAACCAACGTCACTATCCATCGATTGCAGTGCTTCTTCGGTGATCGCGTGATTTCGCGCAAAAAAAATGTGCCATGGCCACCAAGATCGTGCGATTTGACTCCCTTGGACTTCTTTTTATGGGGATATTTGAAAAGCAAAGTTTACGACAACAAACCAGCCACCCTCCAAGAACTCAAAAACAACATCATTGCCGAGATAAATGCCATAGGGTGGTCCGCAGTCAGAGGAAGCACTAACCGTGGACGGTATAACAAAGTCCAAAGGTTGCGACGATAGAGTGTACCATAGTAACAGGTCTTCCTTCTTCTCCGATCTATTGCGTAGTAGCGGTCTCGTAGGACTAGCTGTCTGAAGCGCCTATCTTAACGCTTTGTAGACCAGTTGGCCTTCTTCGCGTACCTCTACCTTCTTCTGTCTACACACGACACACACGCATTACCGTCATTGCAGTACAATTAACACAGCAGCCAATTTCGCGATAGGACAAACCAACATCCCGATAGGCAATAATTCTATCCCTGACGTCTTCGAACTCGAGCCATGTTGTCATGCTCAACACTACTAACTGACAATAACTAAAAATATCTGTATTAGTCAGCTCTCAGAAAGTGCTTTCTTTACAAAAAACTAAGAGATAACATTTTAACAAAGGTGAACAAAAACAAATATAAAACGTTGACATTGTTGCCACGGCCTGCTTAAAATATAGTCATTACGTTACCAAAAAAAAAAGTTGGAGAAATTATTTTTTTTGTTTTAACACTTCTAATGTCACTGAGAATATATGTCGTAAATCTGCCAGAAAAATTAAAACCTGCAGAAAAGTACAATTTGCAATAACCGGTTAATTGTCTAATCTGTTTTTTAAATTCGATTAACCGGCTTAGTCCCAGTGGAGCAAACCCGACCAACCGTTGAAGTATACTCTCCTACGCATTATAAAACTTTCCGTACGGAAATTTTTTCCTAAATCGTTGCAATACATTTGAAAAAATGCAATTGAAAATTTCAAAATTAACGCTATGACGTCCCAAATGGCTCCGTCGGTACCCAGGCTATACATAAACCTTGGCAACTGTCGTTCTTTTCAACTGTGCTGCGGTGTTGACAGCTCACCTGACAGTTTCGCTACCTTTACTATTTTACATTTTGAAATAGAAGCTTCAAATGTAATATGAATGGATACATAGAATTTGAGGCGTAGCGATGCTTGGCAAATAGTTAAGGTTTATACCAATAATTATTCACATTGTAAGTGCAAGTATAAACATTTGTATTTCTATAAATTGTTATCACTTTTTGTATCCCTTATAATATAAAGGGTTGTCCAAAACGGACGCAGGAAAGTAAACGCATATTAAAACAAGAAAGATTGATATTCAAATCAAGTTGGGTACTTTATTTTGAAGGTTCATTTATACCATTTATGTATCAAAAATAATATCGCTCAAATGTTCACCACGACTGGATTTACAGACGTCCACGCGATGGTCGAAATTTTCAATGACATTTTGCAACATGGTCGGTTCTATGGCATTTATCTCGGCAATGATGTTGTTCTTGAGTTGTTGGAGGGTGGCTGGTTTGTTGACGTAAACTTTGCTTTTCAAATATCCCCATAAAAAGAAGTCCAAGGGAGTCAAATCACACGATCTTGGTGGCCATGGCACATTTCCTTTGCGCGAAATCACGCGATCACCGAAGAAGGACTGCAATCGATGGATATTGACGTTGGTTGTGTGGCATGTTGCACCGTCTTGTTGGAAATAAACATCGTCCATATCCATTCCTTCAAGTTACGGTAAAAAATAGTCCTCTATCATCACGTGATGATGAATTGACGGTAACCGCGTCCCCGGCCGCATTTTCGAAAAAGTAAGGTCCGATGATGCCTTTTGACCACAATGCACACCGCACAGTCACTTTTTGAGGATGCATCGGCTGCTCTTGATACTCACGGGGATTTTCGTTCGCCCAGATGCGGCAGTTTTGCTTGTTTACCGTCCCATTCAAAGTGAAATGCGCTTCGTCGCTGAACATGATTTTTGGTGAAAAATTGGCATCAATTTGGCGGTGTTCAAGGAGCCAATCTGAGAACGTTCGGCGCGAAAAATGGTCGGCCCGACGCAGCTCTTGCGTCAATTGGATCTTGTAGGCGTGTACATTCAAATCCTTGTGGAGAATGCGGAGCAAACTGGTTCTCGAAATGCCCAATTCTTGGGATCGACGCGTTGTTGATCGTTTCGGATCGTGTCTCACACTCTCCTTCACAACAGCAATATTTTCCGGTGTGCGAACGCTCCTTGGCCGGCCAGAGGCTGGCAGATTTGCCACAGAACCTGTTGCCTCGAATTTACGCACCAGACGACCGATGGTTGTTTCGTTTGGGCGGTTGTTGCGACCGAAATGTTCACGAAGCGCGCGAAACGTGTTTTTTATTTTTGCACCATTTTTGTAGTGCTCTTGAATAACTTCAATGCGGTCTTCAATCGAATAAGACTCCATAGCGATCAATTGTAAACATTCAACTAACAAAATGACATGTCGGTGACAGAAAACAAAGATGGCGTCTATGTCAAATTGACGTTTACTTTCCTGCGTCCCTATTGGACAACCCTTATAATGACCACAATTTATATATAAACGCAAAACAGAATAAAAATTCATATTAAGAGTTTTAGATTTACTATGCATGTTAAAACTGTTTTTTCGGATTTTCACCAAAAACGCATTTTCACCATTTTTAAAAATAATTGAAGTATTAATTTTTTGCGAAAAAAAAAACGTTATTATTATGTACAGCACCCTGTATGATATATAGAGACAAAACTAAACTGCCATGCATTGTGACAGAAACCTAAAACAGTTAAAACATTCTATTAAATGTAATAGCTAGAACAACGAAAATACATGAGAGATATATACTAAGTGACATATAAATCCGAACACCCAGGTTAAATGGCTTTATTTTAATAAAAGTTGGTGAATGTATTTATCTTACTGTAAATAACAAGTGAAAACATTTTCAGCCTTATCAGTTGGACATTCCGGTTTTTATACTGCTTTTTTTTAATTCACTAACTCTCTAAAAATGAATATTTCAGCCGCAGTAAAGAATCAACGTTGGCGGATTTTGGTTCTTGACATCCTTTACGATCGGTTACGATGCCTAGAGTACAGAGACCTGTACGATTTCGTCAACTTAGTGAGTTTGATAGGGGCCGTATAGTGGGACTTCGGGAAGCTGGACTTTCTTTTCGGGCAATTGCAGTTAGAGTGCAAAGAAGTGTAGACACTGTGGTTAGGTGTTGTCAGGCATGGCTTTGAGAAGGCCGTACGCAAAGAGCAAGGGGCACTGGACGCCGCCGTAGAACAACAGACCGTGAAGATCGCCGCCTAAGATTATTGGCCTTAAGGGACCGTTTCTCCACTACCAGGTCCATTGCAAATGAATGGGT